CATCACCAACCACAGCTTCCATCACCAATACACAGCCCCCATCATAACACACATTTATCCACACAGCCCTTCATCATAACACACAGTAATCCAACACACAGCCCCCATCACCCAATACACAGCCCCCATCACCAACACACAGCCCCCATCACCAACCGCAGCCCCATCCCAACACACAGCCCCATCACCAACACACAGCCCCCCATCACCAACACACAGCCCCCATCGCAACACACAGCTTCCATCACCAACACAGCTTCCATCACCAACACACAGCCCCCATCACCAACACAGAGGGGTATCATAAGGAACTCTGGTCAGGGGTTCATAGTTAGTTGAGGCATATTTGGTGGGGAGGTGGGGGAGTGAGGGAGAGGAGAGTGGTGGGGAGATGGGGGAGTGAGGGAGAGGAGAGTGGTGGAGAGATGGGGGAGTGAGGGAGAGGAGAGTGGTGGGGAGATGGGGGAGAGAGGGAGGGACTAGGTGGATGGCGAATGTGTTGCCTCACCGGTAGCCGCCAACACACACATGTGAAATATAAGAAACCTACACCTGTACACAAACACACATACACCCATACAGACAAACACATAATGCACAAACACACAAATACACACAAACCTCCCCCCCTCCCCCCACACACACACACTTTTTAATTCACGTAATGTTCATATCAAAAGTTCATTCAAACACTAATTAGTATTTCTCAATCACAGGTACAGGTAAGACTTGACACCTCATCAGCTCACCCATTGCACACCTTCTCAAGACTAACTACATAATATCAGTTAACGGCGCTACGATTTATCTTGTTATAATTATGAAAAATCCAGTACAGGTAAAAAAAATCACAGTCACTACAGCTGCCAAGTCGTGATTTTAGTTTCCAGCGTTTAACTCTATATTACCTGGTGAGCTCGACCCGTGACGCGGCTCTCCATTCATCAACAATTCTCATATTGTTTCGCTAATTTAAAACTTCAACTCAAGTCAATTTCTATTCAAGATTCAGTTGTTAAAGGGATAATCAACGTGAGTTTTGTTGAGATATGAATAGTTAATAATATGACAATACGTTCAGTCATTTAGAGGGTGTTGTTTTAGTGAGCCCGGACACGTTCGCTCGTCAGAAGTGAAAGGAACAATGAACGAAATGAAACAACAGATTCGAAACACAGCGGAAGGCGAGGGAGGAGTCATTCGGAAACGGAAGAACAGTGTTGCCATAGTTAATCATCAATATATAATTACACATAACAGCACATAGAGTGTCATTACCAACACGAGTTACACAACACAACACAACACTCGGTAACACACGGGACACAGCATTACCTAAGTCAAGAGAGAGGCGAGTGTAAATAAATAAACAGTGATATGCATAAAGGCCGTCGGCATCTGGAGATAATTACGATGTTGAGCTTGGTTAACTGCCTGATAATCCGTTTGGAAATTCATACCTGGAGTGCACCTGTAGACCAATTAATTGTGCAAGTGGCCGCCTGTGTGGGGCCATTAAGTCCAGGTGTGCGCTGATTCTGTACCTGATTATTAACATCCGTATTGGGCCGTGATTTGCTGGTACTTTTCGGAGCTGGACACACTGTTGGGACTATCTACCTTCCTGGGACTATCTACCTTCCTGGGACTATCTACCTTCCTGGGACTATCTACCTTCCTGGGACTATCTACCTTCCTGGGACTCTCTACCTTCCTGGGACTCTCTACCTCCCTGGGACTATCTACCTTCCTGGGACTCTCTACCTTCCTGGGACTATCTACCTTCCTGGGACTATCTACCTTCCTGGGACTCTCTTCCTGGGACTATCTACCTTCCTGGGACTATCTACCTTCCTGGGACTCTCTACCTTCCTGGGACTATCTACCTTCCTGGGACCTCTACCTTCCTGGGACTATCTACCTTCCTGGGACTATCTACCTTCCTGGGACTATCTATCTTCACAGAGCCTCTCTACCTTCCCTACAAGACTATCTACCTTCCTGGGCACTCTCTACCTTCACAGGACTATCTACCTTCCTGAGACTATCTACCTTCCTGGGGATCTCTACCTTCCACGCAGGACTATCTACCTTCCTGAGACTATCTACCTTCCTGGGCTTCTCCTTCCTGGGACTATCTACCTTCTGGGACTATCTACCTTCCTGGGACTATCTACCTTCCTGGGACTCTCTCTACCTTCCTGGGACTCTCTGTCTTCCCTGGGACTATCTCTACCTTCCTGAGACTATCTACCTTCCTGGGACTATCTCTACCTTCCTGGGACTCTCACCTTCCTGGGCCTCTCTCTACCTTCCTGGGACTATCTACCTTCCTGGGACTATCTACCTTCCTGGGACTATCTACCTTCCTGGGACTATCTACCTTCCTGGGACTCTCTACCTTCCTGGGACCTATCTACCTTCCTGGGACTATCTACCTTCCTCAGGACTGTCTACCTTCCTGGAACTATCTACCTTCTGAGACTGTCTACCTTCCTGGGACTATCTCTGCCTTCCTGGGACTATCTCTACCTTCCTGGGACTGTCTACCTTCACCAGAGACTATCTACCTTCCTGGGACTATCTACCTTCCTGGGACTATCTACCTTCCTGGGACTATCTGCCTCCCTGGGACTATCTACCTTCCTGGGACTATCTACCTTCCTGGGACTATCTACCTTCCTGGGACTGTCTACCTTCCTGGGACTATCTACCTTCCTGGGACTATCTACCTTCCTGGGACTATCTACCTTCCTGGGACTCTCTACCTTCCTGGGACTATCTACCTTCCTGGGACTATCAACCTTCCTGGAACTATCTACCTTCCTGGGACTATCTACCTTCCTGGGACTATCTACCTTCCTTGGACTTTCTACCTTCCTGGGACTATCTACCTTCCTGGGACTATCTACCTTCCTGGGACTATCTACCTTCCTGGGACTATCAACCTTTTTTACCTTAACTTACGAGGAAAAAAATATATTATCGTACGAACTTTTCAGAATCTTGGCCCCGTCTTCTTCGTCTCCTGAGTAAACCTTTTATGAGTGATCAGGAAAACGTGTGATAATGTCTAACTGTATAGTAATAGTTATAAGACAATTTAATTATAATTAAACACAAAGCTTAATTAGTCTATAACAGATGTAAGTATAATATGTTAATTATACCTCTTATACGATATATAATAATTAGATCAAACACTTGTGCTGTACATACTGTAGATTATATAGAGTCATATAATTAACTTAGAGTCCCATATATATATCTTAATATATTATACAACCTTTTTCTTTTTTGAGAGAGAGAGAGAGAGAAGAGAGAGAGAGAGAGAGAGAGAGAGAGAGAGGGGGGGCGGGGGGTGTCACCGGTCACATCACCCTCTGCCATACAAAGTAATAATAACAGCACACCTGAGAGAGCTATACAGGTGTATCCTCTAATTACTACAGGTTTATAACGTAATAGAGGCTGCCAGGAGGTAGGCGCCATTATCTACCTATAAAACATGTATTGTACGCCTTTTTAATGAACCAATAGAGTACTCTTAATTTCTACCTGGCCTCGTATAATGTAATAATGAGTTTGTAATTATATCAGACGGGAAGTATAAACATTTATTCTCACAGTGTAAAATTTAACATTCCCCCTTTAGAGCCCTTCTCCTCCTCGTGTACATACATAATGCGTGTATGTACTCATTGGGTACACATATACGAGGTGTGTGCGTGTGTGTGTGTATAACCCGTGTATATCAACAAAGTGTAGATGTACGTAATGTGTGAAGGAGGACAAACGCACGTACACACACACACACACACACACACACACGGGGGAGACCAAAATCGGATAAGAAACAGCGATTCAATACACACACACACACACACACACACACACACACACACACACATTCATGCCGTAATAGAGACCCCCCAAACAATGATTGAGTTTGTGAGTTGATTATTGTAAAAGGCAACGTTAGCCGGTTAGTTCAGGATGGTATGAAAGGATTAATTTTCATAACCTGTGTGGCGTCATTAGCAGGTAAATAATAATTACTGATATGTAGATATATCTTAAACAAACTCTGCTATGTATTGTTTTATATTACTCAGCTGGGAGGAGAATACTGTTTGTCAATAGATTTCTGTTTTTCTCTCTGTTTGAGTTATATTAATTTGCTTTTATTTCATTATCTTTCGTTTAGTTTTAATTATCTCGGGGTTTTTTATTTTATTTTATTTTTTTTTCAGTTAGTGTTTGTTGTCTTTGGTATTGTCTCATGTATAGTAAACAGCTGTATGATGATGAGTAAATATATATTAAATAAAACTGCTCTTTCAAATATATACACACGTACTAACCCCCTTCCCCCCCTCCTCCCCCTCCCCCGGAAAAATAGATACACCGCCCCCCCCCCAAACACACACACCCCCCTCCGCCCCTCAAACACACACTGTCCCTCAAACAAACACACACACACACACCGCTCCTCACCCTATAGATTCTGTCATCCTGATGGTTAACTCAAAAGGTATCCAGAGTAATAGAGATTCAGACACAAGTCGTATCAATAACATACCAAAGTTTTCACACATGGACAACTACTCGAGGCTTTAAAAAGAATAAATAAAAGGAAAAAAACAAGTGTGATTTTTTTTCTCGTTTCTCTGTTTGTTTCTTGTTGTTTATCATCCGGTTGTTTGTTATTGCCATCGTCTCTAACAACAATAACAATAATGTGTAGTTTTGTAAGTTGTTGTTGTTGTTGTGTTTATAAAGGTGGGGTTTTTTTTTTTAAGTTCAGTTTCATTAAATATCGTTCACTAACTTATTATCTCTATATAATTTTTAGTTCTTTACATGTATAAAAAAATATATGGATTTTTTTTTTAGATATATGTAATTTCTAGTTTTCTTTGAGCACCTGAGATTTTATAGAACCCTAAAACAATATCCTTATACAGGTAACTTAATTAATTTGTCTTACCTACCTACAGCGCCATGTCACGAGGTATGTATCACCCACACTTCCCTCCCGCCCTCACCCATATGACGGCTGCTATGGGTGGCATGGGTGCGATGGGTGGTATGGGTGCCACCTTACCCACCCACTCGCCCTCAGACTACCAGGCCACTCTTGATTCGGAGAAGGTGCGGGCGGCCTTCCTTCCTACCTCTCTCAGTAAGTACCTCACGCCCACTTGTCTTTAAGATCACTTTATCATCAATAATAATTACACATTACCTTAAAGATTGATTTTAACTGCAATATTATCAATAACTTCTATTTTAACACTAATTTCGACATTAACTTCAAAAATTAAGTTATGAGTTTTATCAATATATAAGTATTGATTATTATTATTATTAGTTTTATTATTATTATTATTATTATTACTATTATTATTACTATTATCATTATGTTGTTAATATTCACGTCAAAAACTAACATTCCTCCTCCACCTCACAGGCAGCCTAGGAGCGTTCCAGTCACACGCTCTCTATACCTCGATGGCCGCCGCCCAGCAGAACAGCCACGCCCACACGCCCACACCCACCTCCCCGGACACTACGCCTACCAACACTTCCCTCACCACACCCCTGGCAGCGCCCGTAGCCAAGCTGGCGCAGCCGGCGCAGGAGGACCGCCGTTCCAGCCCACCTGCATCTACTGCGTCAGTGTTCCTTGGTGTTTTGTGAGTGTGTATGCCTGTGTGTGTTGGTGTGTATGTGTTTGTGCTTGTGTATGTGTATGTGTGTGTAAAAGGACTCTTTTTGTGTTGGGTCATGTATGTATGTATGTATGTATTTATAAATGTGTGTGTGTTCATGTGCATATTTATTTGTATGTGTCTGTGTCTTTCCAAACTTAGGTGTATATTTGATGTTGAATTATTTGTTGGTTCGTATAGTCGTGTATAAATTAAAATATATAATACAAACAATAAGAATGGTAAAGTAAAATAGACAGAGATAAAGAGTGAGAAAGAATGAGATTTAATTACAGAAACTAGACAAACATAAATAAACTATCGAGAATACCTTTTATAATTCATAGTCAAATTGATAAGAAATTGCCTGGTTTTACCTGTATGTAACTAAATCACTAAAATATACAATAGAGACACAATTGATTTATAATTTCTATGTGGCGAGAGCTTGTGTCTGGGAGTGTGTGTGAGTGTCTTAACCATGATTTTTCTTCCGTCCTCAGGAGTTCGTCACCATCTTACATGCCACCGTCGCCCTTCTCCGCCCTCTACTCTACCCCAAGCTCCCTGGCGCCAGGACACCCGCTTCTCTACCCTGCCCAGTACCCGCCCATGACCACGCCCACACAGGACCTCCGCCGCCCACTCTCCGTCCTCTTCTCATAGGCGTCCTCCTTCTGCAGCAGTGCCCCCCAGGATCCATATTTGCTAAAGCTCCCGTTCACTGGGACCTCCATTGATGGGGGCTCATACTCCATGGGCTCCTCATGGCTTGGATTTGCACTTGCTAGGACCAACACTCACTGGCCCCCGAATCCTGCAGCTCACACCCAAGGTCACCAGTCATGTCACCCTCAAAGTCAATAGCTTCCTCTCGGCCGCACCATAGTTCTTGGAGTTAAATGAAATAAGGTGATTCTCGAGGCTAAGAGTCACCAGATTATCCTCGAGGTCAACAAATCAAAAACCCTTCCTCAAGGTCATTAGAGCTGTCGAGGTCAGCTGTCAGAAGTTTACCCTCGAAGTCGAAAAACCAATCGATTCGTAAGACTTGGAGACCTTGCCATGGAAGCTAGTTTGTGGAGACCTAACTATGAAAGACCTAGGAGTTAGAGACCTAAATATGGTTGCCCTAAGACTTGAAGATCTTAGCCATAGGAGCCAAAAGAAACTGGAGACCTTATCATATAGGACCCCGAGAGGTGGAGGAGATCTAGCCAACAGGTGAAGAACTTTTGTCAAGAGGACCCAAAAGTTCGTCTTAGGAACTCCCCCCAACAAGTCGATTACAAGCGTATAAATCTCCCCCGTGTGACTTTTTAACTTAGAAGAGACCAAATACGTTAATGATCATAAGGTGTATATTTACGTTATTTTTTCGATTTCATTATCAAACAAGTGTCGTGGGAATGGCGTAGTGGTGTTGTAATGATGTATTTAGTGTTTCGCAAATGCTAATGTATGGTAAAAAAAAAGACACACACACAAACACACACACACACACACACACACACACACACACATTACACATAGTAGAGTCATCACAGATATATATATATACACAATTTGTACTATATTAAGCATCTTGAGGTTTGTTAACTTACACACTAACCAAAAAAAATAATAATAATAATAGTCTTTTGTATATAAATTCCTCTTGTAAATATGACTGAAAGGGTAACTGATCCTTTCCTTCCAAGTCATGTACTGTATAACTGTCTTGATGAATGTTCCGTGCTACGTGTGTTGACTTGATGAATGTTCCGTGCTACGTGTGTTGACTTGATGAATGTTCCGTGCTACGTGTGTTGACTTGATGAATGTTCCGTGCTACGTGTGTTGACTTGATGAATGTTCCGTGCTACGTGTGTTGACTTGATGAATGTTCCGTGCTACGTGTGTTGACTTGATGAATGTTCCGTGCTACGTGTGTTGACTTGATGAATGTTCCGTACTACGTGTGTTGACTTGATGAATGTTCCGTGCTACGTGTGTTGACTTGATGAATGTTCCGTGCTACGTGTGTTGACTTGATGAATGTTCCGTGCTACGTGTGTTGACTTGATGAATGTTCCGTGCTACGTATGTTGACTTGATGAATGTTCCGTGCTACGTGTGTTGACTTGATGAATGTTCCGTGCTACGTATGATATGTATAATTGGATGTATGTGTTCGTAAGTATATATTGGTACGTGTGTATGTGTATAATGGAATCTATAGTTCTCAATAATGTGAGTCATGTGTGTAAGTCATGTGTGTGTGTGTGTGTACTACCTAAAGCTGTATATGTGTGTATGTTCTGATATATGTATGATTCTACTGGCACATATGTACGAGTAGGCTGTCTGTATGGGTGTATACTGTCATTGTGTGTATGTAAGTATGTGTAATACCACTCTGTATAGAATCTTATAGTGTGTGTCGTGTATATTTGTATCTTCCTCAGTTACTGTTGCTTCTATACACTGTGTATTTATTGCTGTGTATTTAAACAATTTTATTCCTGAAAATAACACCTGAATTTATCTTATTTTAGTCAATCCAATTTTTTTTGACGCGTATTTTAAATTTTACGAAAAAAAAGTAATAATATCCGTTTAGATGGACTTTTGCTATAAGGGTGAAATTATTACAAAGTATATATCACGTTGTATTGCATTTTCTATTACTAGTTTTATTGTTTCTGTTTTGCTATTAGTCTCTTATGGGAAGTATAAATAACTTCGAACTTTTTTTTATCTTCGTTATTAAGTGTTATTCATTACTGTAATTTTAATACCGTCAGTTGTCCAGGATCTTCACTACAGTTCTCTAATTGTATATAAATCACTGTATTTTAGTTGGTTACAGTTTATTACAGGTGTATTTGAGGAGGCAGCGGTGACCTCATAAAAACCCCTGTAGAGTCATTAACACTAATTGATGGTATTGTGCCATGATGGGCGGTGGTGACGTCTGCTATATGTCCAGTAATTGAGACAAACACATGCCAGGAGGTACTGTAACAATTTTTTTTAAGTGGAATCTAATATTTTAGGAGGGTGAAATGTGTATAAGAGGGTGAAAAGTGTTCAGGAGGGTGAAAAGTGTATAAGAGGGTGAAAAGTGTTCAGGAGGGTGAAAAAATAATATTCTCTCGCCAGTTGGGTGTTATAATGTCTACCTGGAAACACTAGGGACCCTTGTCATAATTCTAGTCGCAACTCCCTTTTAAATTGACCTCACTTGTGTATATAAGAGATGAAGGAAAAAAAACTACTGAATTGTAAGGTTTTAGGAACTTGCCATATGCCAAAGAGATACATATTAGTATAATAGTTAGCAAGATAAACTATAGACTCTTGACTAAACGTAATATCACATAAGTAGCAAAATTCATTGGAAGTTTCATAGGCGTAAACCGGGCCAAAAAAAATATATAGTTTCGTTCACAGGATGTAAAAATAAAACGCCCATTATTAATACATTATTATTATTATTATTATTATTATTATTATTATTATTATTATTATTATTATTATTATTATTATTATTATTATTATTATTATTATTATTATTAAATGTTTACATGGTAATCTGAGAGGGTGCCGTTGCCACGTTTACAGTGCCATAGATACAATAATGGGGGGGGTAAGACTCGGTGTTTTGGCCCTTGCTCTCGCTATCACCATTCCCTTAAACTATGTGCTCCATACTTCATCTTCTAATATTTGTATAGTCATGTACCGCAAGGCAAAAGTGTTACAATACCCATAGACAGATTGTGGTACTGCCTAGATTATTTTTCAAAACATTATCAGATGGTCAATGTGTATGGGCGTGTCACTTTATTATCCATGTCAATGTAAATTCAAATGAAGCATTAAACTCATGTGTTGTTTTTGGTGCTGTCACTTAAGTACAAGATCTTCCCTCAATTACTCTAGATGTAGGAACCTTTGGGATGTCCACCTGACCACTAGGAACCTCTATTGATGTGTGGTCAATATCAAGGTTATAAAAGGGTCAAGGTTCAGCCAGTGTCTATAACTTCCCCAAATATTGACCATTAAATCCCCCTCCCCCCTGAGTGGTATTAATCCTAACCCATGTCTAAATCCCTCCCCCCCCCCCTTTGCGTGGTAATAATCCTAACAGCATGTAGATCACCCCCTCGAGGCCTGGCTGAAGTATCCTGACGTGGTTATGTTAACAAGATACAGCTTTAACCTGAGCCCCTGTACAGTACCCATAACTAACCTGAAGTTTACTCCCTGAGGCGCGAGACCAGGTGAGCACGAGACCAGGTGAGCACGAGACCAGATGGGCAAGGTCTCGTTCGTGTCCTCTTACACCTGATGTATCCCCCATATCCCGCCAGAGCCTACCCTACCCTACCCTACCCTACCCTACCCTACCCTACCCTACAGTCCTATCCAATCCTACCAACCCCCTTTGGGTCTCCTGACGATAGGGAGTAAACTCTGTAGGTCCCACTGTAGCCGTGACTCTTCGACGTGGCGTTATGTAGCTCGGTAAAACTTTATAAGTGTGGTGAGTGTATACAAAAAATAAAATAATCTGCCTATGAGATGACTTTTTGTAGCCTTATAAGAGTAATGAAATCCGGGCCAAGGATTAATCTGGGACCATGGATTAATCTGGGGCCTGGATTAATCTGGGCCATGGATTAATCTGGGCCATGGATTAATCTGGGCCATGGATTAATCTAGGCCAAGGATTAATCTGGGACCATGGATTAATCTGGGCCACGGATTAATCTGAGCCACGGATTAATCTGCGCCAAGGATTAAAACAAAGAGGAGTGACCATTGAATAAAATACCTCTTCAATCAAGTTTTACAAGACAAACTATCAAGTCCAAATAAAGTTCATTCTGCTTGTTAACTCTCCCATCTGAGGTGTCTATAGCCCTCCTAACTACCTCATTCACCAATTATATCTTTCACACCGCCTTAAGATATCTTCAGCTACACACATCTGATAATGAATAACCATTAAATTTTGGTATGTATGTATCAGTGTTATGTGTCAATGTATACTCAAATAATATAGTAAATGGTAGTATGTATCTTGAAGCAGCTGGAAAGACAATTTACTGTAGGACAAACAAGCTAATTGGTCATTCCATCGATTATTGTCGCGCATCAACATCTCCTTCACGACACTACCTGCGGCTTCCTCCTCTGACCTACCTGTCTGCTCCGTGTAGTAGTGTGTTATTCTGCATCTGTGAGTGACGGTGCAGTGTGACGGTGACGGGTGTTACGGTGCTATGTGTGACGGTGACGGGTGTTACGGTGCTGTGTGTGACGGTGCTGTGTGTGACGGTAACTTACGGTGCTGTGTGTTACGAACTCCTTGCATAGTAGTGTCTTGAAGTCTTATGTGACGGTGCTGTGTGTTTAAAGTCTTTGGTGAAGTGAATCTACGTGTAATGGAGTCTGCTATACAGTCGTAACAATCCAGCAATTTGTTACGATGACACGTCGACAGGTGTGTTCTACGTCGCTAATTAAAGGTATTGTCATATAAACAAAATCAACCAGATAATACGAATCTATCATATTTTTCTTTTTTGGATGGTGCAGCAATACATTATAACGTCATTATCTACCCATGTCATTCATTATAGTTCTGAGTCCCATGATTATTTTTATTTTTATGTTTAGGTATTTTGACTTTTGTTCATTGCGGTTCCTGTGTGTGTTTTTTTTTTCATAAAATTTAATATTCTTGTTTAAGACGACAGTTGTGACATCATATCTTTGGTTCATGAAGTAAAGGTTTATTTTGTTGTATAAAATTTGGTTACTATTATTCACAGATTTTAATGTTATTTACAAATGTTTTTGGACTTGGTAAATTGCCTGATGATGGAGTGTCTCGCCTAAGAAAACTACCGCAGTTTAGGGATGTCATTCTTGTCTTCTGAACAATACATGGATTACCGTATTTCATTTTTTTTCTCGAAACTCTCAACTCCGTAGCGCCAGTGATCACGTGTCGACCTTCAGCGCACACCCCTCCAGGTATTGTAAAGAAGCATTTTTCCTGGACAGAAATGTCGGAATTATTATATTCCTCCTCCCATTGTGAAGTGCCTCAAAACTTTCACATAACAGTCCAACTGTGCTTTTGTTATCTGTGAACAGAGCCGGAGCCCCTCTCAGGCCGGACATGGTGAGCGCTACTGTATTTGCTTTGTTGCTACGTGTTGTGGGTCAAGAATGGCCACAAATTAGTGTAAATCCACCTTTATCAAGCCTGAATGATTGGCCAGAAATTGTGTTATCAAGCTAGTGTTCGCTAGATAATACACACTGATTTGAACTCTGTATTCCTGGGGTCGGCAGAACTTTGTCCTAATGCCTTCTGCCTGACTTCCTCTGTCCATCTCTCCACGGACTTATAGACCACAATAAACCTAATGCTAGGTCATTCATCCATGTTATATATTACTGTTGTAGTTTAATGTTATAATAAAATGATAGAGTAACAAATTATTATAAATTAGTATATTAATGTTGCATTTGGTAAAGGTGGTGAGGGTTTGGGACAGAAGAGAGCGGCGGGACACGGTAGCCAGACGAGGTGTTGTGGAGGCGTCAGCTGATGACTTGGGCGTCTGAGTGCGTGTTTGGACGGCCTGTCTTCTTCCCGCAAATCATTCGGGTGTCCCTTTATGTTTCCACAAAGAATCGAATATATCATCAATGGCTATTGTGTCACTCAACACTTGGGCTGACCAGCACAATGCCTCACTCCGCCGTAGACGTGAGAAGAAGAATGATTTTCTATAGAAATCTTCGACTGATTTTCATTTTATATTCTTTTAGTCAGCTGCCTTTCCCCGCAGCTGCTAACCTAAGGTGTTATTCAAATACTTGTCATCATATATTGGTAATCACTTGGGAAGGTCTCGTGGAATATTTCACACAAATGATGGGTGTCCACTGTGTCCTGAACCTTGATATGATGAAAATTGATGACTCGACTGCCTATAACTCAGTACAGTACTAATGTTTACTGCATAGTTGTGAGGCATATACGAATATGAGGCGTATAACAACCTGTCATTACTGTATGTAAATAAATGCCTTTCGTCTGTTAGTTGCACTCATGACCATGATCACCCAAATAGCAATGGAATTTTACCTCTAATGGCGGCTGTATTAATTAAGACAAAAGAGCAGTTCGATAGTTAGTCATTTCTATCATTACTGACCGGAGTTGTGACTGAATGAACTCGGGTGTGGCACGGCTGGTGATTTACTTACCTTGTGGACACGTACTGTACAGTAATTACAGGTATAGTGTAATAATAATTATAAATCGTTCTCCGAAGCTGGACATTTTAGAGAATTATTCATACACAAGACTATAAAATATATTTTCATGCATTCAATACCATGTCCCGGTTAGGTTGTCTTGATATCTTTATTCGCGTACAATGGTGTTCTTGGGATAGCATGGTCCTTGTCGTGCTTAACTAACTACAAGTGTTGACCGACTGAGTGACCAAGATGTAACTAGCGTACCATACTTACATAACCAAGAGACGAACATCCACACAGGGAAAAACAACCACAACAACGACCAAACACCCACCACCACTGTACAACCATGGTGACCAAACCTATTAATAACCTGCTATGTCATCCAGCAGTAGATCTTGTGTCCTAGGGGAAGGGAAGTCTTTATCCTAACTTTATTATTACGTTCTTTATTAAACTCTAAGACGCTCTGTTACGTAAGAAGTTGGTGTGGTGAGTGTTGTTGTTTGTTGTTTGTTGTGTGGTGGTGATGAGTGTTGTGTGGTGGTGAGTGTGGTGGTGATGAGTGTTGTGTGGTGGTGAGTGTGGTGGTGATGAGTGTTGTGTGGTGGTGATGGTGGTGAGTGTGGTGGTGATGAGTGTTGTGTGGTGGTGAGTGTGGTGGTGATGAGTGTTGTGTGGTGGTGAGTGTGGTGGTGATGAGTGTTGTGTGGTGGTGGTGATGGTGGTGAGTGTGGTGGTGATGAGTGTTGTGTGGTTGTGGTGGTAAATATTATATAGAATTCTTATATAGACAGATTATATTTATATTTTTTCAATGGGAACCTGCTGGATAATACCCCTTCATGTTGATAAAAAAATCTATATAACACACACTAAATGTCTTACTTTAACGCACCACAAAATTTTATCTAACAAAAAAATCTCAACATTTCCCTGGGTGATCTTTGTAGATAATTTTACCATACGATATAGTTTCTTAGGCATGGTTACATCAAAACAAACCTAAATCAACTTGTTTTGTCTTTATTTTCTTATTATTACATCTATATCGTTCACTTTATCAAGAAATACTTATAATAAAGAGATGTATTTTATAAAGAAGACTATTAAGTTGGTGAAAGTAATTCCTTTATTGATAACTTTATATATATCGTAACAGAAGACGACCAAGACTTTCTATTGACGTTCTTATATGACAGAAACTTTTTATTGGTGTTTATCCTCTTATTCTGATGTTGTCGAGTTAATATTACAGACACGAGGAGGAAAAATTGTGTGAGGAGGGAAACGGGGCATAACAAGATATTATATAATACACAGGGGCTATAAACGAGCCTAAATTATTGATTTAAGTGTAAATATTGAACATAAAAGTAATAAAGAAATTTTATCACTACCAATTAGAGTATAAAAAAGAATACTGAGGTGGTAAAAGTAAAGTTTACATACACGCTCTCTATGCAGTTTGGTCTCAGTATGAGGAGTGACAGACACGGTCAACAGTGGCCGCGTCCAGGTGAGACCTAACACACGGGCGGTTACAAGTGTCCATTTATCCATCCGATGATTTCACCCTGGGGAGCTGGGTGGAGTCCCGCAACACGTATATAATCCCATAATAACTCAACCCATACCTGTAATTCACAGAGCCCGCGGTCACTAATATCGCTGACCAAGTGATTTTACACGTCAGAAATCGCTTTTATCCGTGACGAGATAGTACCATCAATCATATTCATGGAGAGAGGTGTTTGTGTCACGCAAATTGAGCTGTAAAATCACGCAAATGAGAGCGACTTACAAGTTATGCGACGTAATTAACACGTTCCTGCATTGTCAAGAGAATGTCTGCATCGATATTTCTAGATGTATTCATTAAGGTGATAGTTTATCCGAGTCCTAAGTATAGTATTAAAGAGGGACATGTATATTATGCGCGTTATTTACTAGAAAGTGTTTATTGCTGTCATAAGAAATATATTTGCTTTAGTTCTCCCTCTCGGTTCATTTTCTATGGATGAATCTTCATTGTGACGGTAACAATAATAATATTGATTATTCTCTCCATATCACATTATTACACCTGTACATTAAAAAATTTTGGTAAATGTTTACGAAACCTAAGATAAAAAGAATATCTAATTTTTTATATGAACCTTACTGTTGGGATCCTCGTCAAAGTACAATTTTTTTCACGTCAAAATAAATGAATGTATTATGAACTATCACTGTATCTCAAGTCACCGATCAGCAGAAGAAATCCTTGAAGCTATTAAGTAAGTTAGATGTATTCTTATATTTTCAGTTAGAGGAAAACTCATCGGATGAACCTTAATGAATCCCAGGCCAAGACCTTGATTCACAAAGCTTCTTACGAAACTGTATAACTATTTGCCGTAGGTGGCGCTGTGAAAACCTTTCATCTGTCTCATTTAACTTTTCCTCCATTATGGCGACTATTATGGCGTCGACATTATACTAATACTCTATCGTAACTAGATGTGATCGATCATGCCTGGTTCAAGGGGAAGTACCTAACGCAAGAGTGCTTGGGAATTCCGAATCGTCGTGACACCATTTAAGATTCATAAGTCGTGAAACTTTTGTAATTACGTTTTATTGACTGAAAACATTAAATCTATTACATTTTCTTTCACTATCTAAATACTTTGTGCTTTCGTCAGACAAGATAAACAATGCAATAAACAAAGTTATTTTCTAAATCCCTTAGATGTGTACTTTGTATTATTATTAGCGAACAAGCAAAGGCGAAGGAATGATCGTTCACTAGTGCTCGTTTACGCTTGTTCTTGCTCGTTCGCTAGGTCTGGACGCGCCTGAGACACACAGTTGAACAAGACCCAAGACTAGTGTGTGGGATCATGTACAGCAACGTGTTATTTAATAATATTTAAGAGGATCTAGACACACACCTGAAATACCTTTGTCTACAATAATAAGAATTAAATCGTCCTTTTTTATTTGAGACTGTTGCTTTGTCATTGACCTGTGGCCGGCTGATAGCGTAATGTTTTTTTTTTTAATTAATATCTCGGATAGCGGGAAGGCTTATCTTACTTCAATTCCTGGACACACGGCATAACGCTGGGTGTGTGTGTATGTGTGTTTGTGTAGTGCAGTACGTCTCTTGTTGCAGCTCTATACAAGTCTCAGTGCACTCGAGGTGGCGTGATTCATTGAGGGTGAGTGTTGTGTGTTGTCTGTTACGTTTGAGAAGCTTAGCATGATACCGGTGAGACACTAAATCATTATGTGAACAGGTTAGGATAGTACTTGTGATTCTGCTAGTCACTGGTTGTGCAGGTTTGTGAATGGATGTGATGCAGCTGACCAATCTTGAAAGGCTTCGACAAACCAAACATGACACCTAACTTTCAATAACATTTAGTGAACTTTTAGCCATTAAAACATGTGTTCAGACTTTGGCTGTCTTGTTACGAATATTATTTAACACCATCTAATCATCTGTGTTTCTATGAGGAATTGTACGACGATACAATACAGTTCCTGAAATTTGTCAGCTGGAATGAAACGGGAAACACGAATCTATGACTTGATCATTACAAGAGATCAAAAAATTTTCCCACGAGTTGATACCTAACCTAACCAAACCTAATTTAAGCAGAGTACTGGATGTTGCCGTGGCCATCAAGACGAATTCGAACAAATATCTTGATAGATCCAGATAAACCTTTAGTCCCAGGAACACTTCACTCCAGTGGTTATCTCAGTGCTTGAGTTATACGTGAGAAGTGTCTGTGCATGGCTGGTAGAGGAGAACTGACTTGTGAAGTTTCAAATAATTGTAATGTGACAGTAAGTATTATTATTGAGTATCAGTCTGTATGATGCTGCAGTTATAGTAAGCATCTTTTGTTGTTGTTGTCGATGGTGCTGTTGTTGTTGTTGTTATTGTTATTGTTGTTATTGTTGCTGTTGTTGTTGTTGTTGTTGTTGTTGTTGTTGTAGTTTTTGTTGTTGTTCAAGAGGTATTCATTGCATCAGTGACCTTGTTTCCACCATGTACACAGGCGACTACCAAATGCTGTTTCCATATACTTTCCAAGATTGTTCTGCTGCGTAGTGTGTGTGTGCGTGTGTGTGTGTGTGTGTGTCCCGGAGAGATATCAACAGCGGGAACAATAGCGTAATTACGACAAAAATGTTATAAATAAGGGGACAGTCGAACCACATAATGACCGTGATGTTACTGTGGTGTCCGTAATTATGAACCAATGTTACTGTGATGTTCGTAGTTATGAACCAATGTTACTGTGGTGTTCGTAGTTATGAACCAATGTTACTGTGGTGCCCGTAGTTATGAACCAATGTTACTGTGGTGTTCGTAGTTATGAACCAATGCTACTACGGTGTTCTGTATTTACATGGATGTGGCGGTCAGAGAGAAGTACCCGGGAAAGTAATTGAATCAGAGAAACAAAAATGTGAAAGTTTAGTAAAGGAGAACTTATCAAGGGATTAAAAATATCAAGGGCAAGAAAATAACAGCTATTGAAGTTATGAACAGAGTCGAGAGAGTGAGGGAGAGAGAGAGGGAGAGAGAGAGAGAGAGGGGGGGAGAGTGAAGGAGGGTCAGCAGGTCTTCAGAGGAACCGGTATGACAGTGATAATAGATATGGTAACAGTGATAAGACGACGAACAAATACCGCCATTTGCGTCACTTGGAATACGTTAAGCAAGCTATTCAGTCATCTTCCATGGGAACTCTGACCAGTGGAGAGATAACTGATAACCTATGATAACATTGTGGAAAGATAACTGATAATCTATGATAACAATACCCGTATCTCACATCCTGTTTGAAGGTCGACATCTGCATGATGCGCCGGGAAGACTTTACCTTCAATACCTCAACTAAATGTTTGGAGGTGAAGAGAGAGGAGGAGGACGGAGCTGCGGCCATGTTGTTGGTCTGTCCTTGTCGACTTTAACATCAAGTTTAATATTTATCCACTTTCTTATCTGTTTACTCTAATATACATTCTCGTGTGTATCATAACAATACTTTACCTTATTATTATATTCTTTTATTCCTTCTATTATCACCCTATTGTATTTTTATTCCATTTTTAACACCCCTCAGAGTGTAGCCATCCGTCACAACAGAACATATTTGCTGGAGCTTGTACCTCTTTGTTCCTTACAGCTGATCATCAACTTTATCTCTTGGGTCTTCCTCAGATGACCGGCCGAGGGAAGCAGAAAACAGGCGTGGTGGTGGAGGGAAGCTTCGTAGGGGTAATCAGTGTCCACACCTCCATGAAGACCCTAAACCATTCCACCAAATTTGGTATTGCTATGGCGGCCTACAGGTATGGTCAGAGGTGGTGGTGGTAGGTGGCTTACAGGTACAGGGGGTGGCTTACAGGTACAGGGGGTGGCTTATTGGTGCAGGGGGGTGGCTTACTGGTGCAGGGGATGGCTTGGATCTACATAAACGACAAAGAGGAAAATATATCAAGCCACAGTGTCTAGTTTGCGGACGACACGCGAGGGTATTTAGGAAAGCAGTGATAATATCTTTCAGTTTTCTTTCGGTGTCTATTGAAAGACTTCTCATGGTAGGTGTGACTTTTGCAGCTGGTGGTGGAGTGGTGATGATCAAGGACCTATACGTCATTAATCTAGTGTTCGAACCCAGATCAGACAGTGTTTATTTCGTATTTGATGTTATAATGCTATTACTGCCCTTCAACAACTAAGAACCTTAAGTGCATAACAAGATAGAACTCTATGTATTTGGATTAAGAGTCGTAGATAAAAATTTATTTATTTATTTGGTTTTAATCGTCAGTGCCATTCAGCAACAATGTGGGAAGCCCGTAAGTAATGGCGGCCATCAGACAGACAGTGCAGACTACAGCCGCCACCTGGGAGCCGCCAGCACCAAACACTACGGCAAACTGTGCACCATCTCCCTGGAGGACGCCCACCTCACGTTAGTACTTGCCAAGAGCCACACAGACACAACCTTCACTGTTTACCCCTATTCTCTAGCCAGTCTTTACCATTAGTGTGTGAGCAGTTTTCCTCAATCTCTTGGTACTACTAGATTACTACAGTTCCAGTTTTAATTTACGTATTCTACCGTCAGTTTGTGTAGTTAAAGAGGCAAAATACAACATTCTTCCTTTCCTCTTTCCTTCCACATCGTTCTCTTTTTCTCTCGTCTCCTTCTCCCTTCCTCCCCTGTACACATTCACCATCCCCAGTATTTCCTTAGCGTCCCCCATACACTCATCAATACTTGTACTATGTTTGTACCTAATCACATCTTATGTTATCACTATAGGCTCCACCGCCACACCTCCTTAGTCTCTTCGACACGCCTGACTTTACTCCTTTCACTTGTCCCCAGCAGAGTGGTAATGATATGTGTAATTAAATGTTTGCTGATAAATTCCTGTGACAGTGAAGAGGAGGACAATAGGCGCCAACATTCACCTTTGGATTCTTCACAGCGCCAAATAACACGTCCTCACTCTGTGGCGGCCAAGACTGGTGTGTAAGACGATCATCCCTGGACCACCTGACAGTAATCTTCCCATTGTCCTTGGCAGAATCACCATGATGGAGCTGGAGGTCCTGAAGATGCCATTAAATACCATATCAGTATCGATGGCCGTGCCCGATGACCCTTACCGCCTGGTGTTTGTTGGCAAGACCAAAGCTTGCTCCTTCAAGCTTGATGACCTCCGAGTCGCTTTCGTCGTCAAACTTCTCTCTCCGTCAGAGATGGATCAGGTCATCAGTTTTATAAGGTAACAGAAAACTTGAACGTCTTGGTCATCACTGAATTCTTTATTTCTTCGGTGTATGACATTTAATGTTTCATGAGTTTTTAACTTTAAATGCTTAACACTTTGTTTCCATTTTGTTTTCTCTTTTATATAGAAACTTAAAGTCTCCAGACTCCCATGAGCCACAGTTTTGTGGACCATCGTCTACTGAAGCACAAATACTCGAGTCACCTTCTCCTGGGCCACAGTTTCCTGGGCCACAGTCTCCTGGACCACAATCTCCTGGACCACAGTCTCCTGGACCACAGTCTCCTGGACCACCATCTCCTTCATTCATGTGTTCAGCAAACATCACTCCTTCTGATAGTCTGAGACAAGTTCTTCCTTCATCACCCCCCACAAACAGTTACAACACAGAGGGATCACGACTACACGTGCGTCGACTCTCTGGAACTGTTGTTGGACACGTGCCCTCACAACACCTTTCTGGCGCTACCTATCACGAGTACGACACTCCGCCACCACCGAGAGTGTTCGAGGCCCCGTATGATGTTCCACTACCGGGACCTCCAAGGAAGGTGAGGGAATATCGTCCTCAGTTTCGCCGAGCTTCCTTACCATCTCAAGAGACAGTTTCCTCTGAGCCATTCCAAAACCTCGTGAAAAGGGAACCTGCACTTCCTTTGTCCTCCACCAGATCGAAAAGGAACATCCAACAAACGTTACCAGAAAATCAACAAGAAAAGAACATCGAATATGTAGATCATCATTACTTTTCATTTGACGAAGACTTTGATAGTAACTTGGAAGATTCCCATGAGAATAAAGAGTCTTTGGAGAGTGTTGGCCAGAGATCAAAAAGTCCTCAGGTCCATTGGGACTCTGCAGATAAGAAAGATGTTCATGGTGATAGTGGATATCTGGATATGTCAGTAGTAGGCTTACCCAATTTGGAATCTAGATATGCAGGGCTGAATGAAATTGCCGAGAGGGTGTATGAGGTGCCTTCATCTCAGACTTACGTGACTATGAGCCACCGTAATGACATAATAGATCAAATGATACGAGACGAAGAGCAATATGTATTAGACCTTGATGATCTACAGAGAGCTCTTGCTGTTCAAGGGATGAACAATGAGCTCTTAGTAACTGCCCAGAGACTATACGAATTCCATCGCATGGAGTTCAAGCCGAAGCTGCAGAAATCCCAAACGTCCCAACAGGTGGCGGCAGCTTTTACAGAGAGCTGCGATGGGTTTAGTTTATATAAGGATTTATTAGTTAAAAGCTCAAAATCTTTGCATAAGGCGTCAATTGCCAACATAATGGATAAAGTGCTTTCGACCATGAAACAGTTAAAGAATTACAAGTCGAGCCTGACATGCTTGCAAGAGAGGGAACCTTCTGAGAGAGAATCACTCCAAGTGGCCCTTGATATAATACATAACTGTCTTACTAGCGCTAACACTCAGCTCATTCTGGACGCCATGGAGGGCTGTCCCTTCCGGCCAGAGCAGTGCGGATCAGCCCTGCAGACTGGATACATCCAGTTAACGAAAGGCCTTCTATCACGAGACAGAGATTTCTTCACAATGCTTACAGAGTCTTACCTGATCTTCATCAAGAAGACTCCTGGGAACGAGTTGCGGTATGGCGCCAGTATGCGGATGGAGACTGTCAGCCTCAGGCAGTACGACAAGACTGACAGTCTGACTGTGGAAGGGGTGTTGCACATGGAACACCGTGAATCGCCCAGACAGGCCTACCGCATGACAGCAGGAAGCCCACAGGAAGCCAACAAGTGGGTGGAGGCAATCAATGGCGTACTAGAGCGTCAGGCAAAAGCTATGAGGGCAGTGAGGAGCAACGATTGACTGGTGAAAACAAAGTTCTATGGATACGCAAGTAACGCAGCACCTAATAAAATGCCACTGTTGTGAAGTCTATATATGTTGTCCATACAAGTGACAACAAGGAACTAATTCACTGTACATTACAGGAGAAATATAGAGGAAGGAGTAAGAACGCCCTTAAAAATTATTATTTTCTTCATATCCCCCTATTGATACGTTTTCTATTAAAGGAGCGCTATCATAAAGATCAATTTGATATTATATGCATAACTATTTAAAACAAATTCTTGTAAAACACTTTTGTTTTAATCATATTCGTATATTTATTTGTGCTTTATCTTATATTTAAATATTTCACTTACATTTAGATTTAGATTTTCTTTGATGCTCACTAATTGAGATAAGATTCAAGTATGTAATGTTCATATATTTTTATTATATGCAATATACACAGTATATTATTTTTACAAAGACCACCATAGCAATACAAGATTTAATAATGAATTAAATAATCTAAGCATGTCGTGGAGATTGTTTTTCTTATTTTCGCATATGTCTAAGTTACTGTGTTCAACTGGGAATTTTTATCTGTGTCAACTTTACTAATCAGTTCCAACCTTAACTTGTCCGCCCAAGCTACTGATTCCACTATAAATTCTGGATAGTTCAAGTAATAGGACACGTGGGGGACACAGGCACTTACTGTTAATGCGGACACGTGGGTGATACAGTTACTTGAGGGTAACATTAGCACTTATTGGGTAACATGGGCTCCTGTGGGTAACATGGACACATGTGGGTAATATGTGTTCTTGTGGGTAACGAAGGTTTCATCGCAGTGACATCACACGACGGTGGGGGTAATAGTGACGTCACAAGAGGGTGGGGTTATTAATGATTATGAATACGATCTAAGCGCCACAACAGCCAAGGGCAAGGGTGGGGTGTAGTGGCGTCACACGAGGGTTAGTTATTATGGAGGGTCGTCCAACATCTCCACTTTCCTACAAGAAAACTATACATTAATTTGACAATTTTTGTATAAGCTATTAAGACCGAGTTACACATTTTATTCACACACATTTTTTCATGGGGGTTACTCGCTTATTACTGTATATATTTAACTATGTTTTTATTTTTTTTATTTATCCTGACACAGTGGCAACGTTCTCCACTGATCATCCAACTTCTGCATTAATGAGCTATCATGGTGACACAATCAGTGGTAGTTGGGCAGTAATGGAAAATAAAGAGGGGGTTTGTTTCCTCAACTCAGACGACAAAGTATTTCTTGAGGTAAGGTAACACACTTTGGAAATTACACTGTCTCTGAAGTCATACTTTTTTTCTGACATTACAAATGCCAGTATTAGTTATGTTGGTAGGCAAAATAAGAAATTCATTGAACGTAAAATTTTCGCACAAATCGGTCGACATATATTCTTTTTTTTTCCCCATAAGTTACATATTGCTCATATTATTGTGAATCTTGCTCTGAATAAGTAATATTTTCTAGAATATTAAGAGTTTATCAATAAAACTAATATGAAAATACTTATTAATATTATATTAACCATTCTATTTATTTATAATAATATTAATTTAGATTAATAAAAAAATATAGTCGCTGTAACATGATCCGGTATTAGTAAACAGAACACCCACCACAGACAAATTGGCAGTAAGGTGAAGGACCAGAGTGAGACATTTATTACTCTTTATAACGAGCGGCACATGAAGCTGACAGTATAGTGACTACAAACTGTAAGAATATACATCCATTGACAAATTGTTTCGTTAAGGACGTCCTAATAATGGCCAAAATATACACCGTAGCCAAGTGCCCAACACCTGTTGCTGTGAGTTTAATTAAAGGGACTATTGAACAACCTTTTAATGGTCCTGGAAACAGTGGTAATGAGTTATCTACGGAGACTTATAAGGATTTTGTGTTAATATCATTTAGAATATATTGTTGGTGATTTTACGAACACTGGAACGATGTAGCATAGAAAATATGAAGTTGCGTTTAGGTCAATGTGATGGGCGATGGCAGACTACATCACCTGAGGGACTACACGAACAGGTGAGTGAAAGTAGACTTAGTTTATATTAAGGTGTTGTGATAGATAACCGTATGGCTGATGACGACCACATCCTCTACTCTAATGACCACACCTTATTGACCTTTTTTTACCTAATGGCCGCTCACTAGAGGTGGCCATGCCAAGGGAAGGAGCCCAGTGGCCTGTGTAGGATCCCTCTACAGTATTGTTCCCGATAATTTTCTTAAGGAATATTTGGGTAATTATTCGGATACTGACCGTCTGCTGTTTTTCATTCAAATGGGTATAAAAATGACAATTTTTCACTTATTTTATTAGGGGATACTGTATTATGTTGGGATAAAAATATAACTGAAATCATGTGCTAACCTAACCAAATCTAAGAAAACCTGACCTATTCTAACCTAGCCTAATCTAATCTAACCTAACCTAACCTATCCTAACCTATCCCATCCGATATCTTAACTCGCCTATATCTTGAAAACTAAGCATTTGCCCAAGAAAATGAACAGAAGTGAAAGTAATCAGCGTACAAAACTATAAACTCCCTTGATAATTATCAAACTGCTGACGGTCACCAGTCGTAATGGTAGACCATTCCATGGGTCTACCACCACCACAGCTTAGACTGGTTCCATAGGTCTACCACCACATCTTGGGCTATTAGAGCATTCCATAGGTCTACCACCTCAGCTTGGGTTGGTAGACCATAGGTCTACCAACCTCTGTGTGAAGAAGTATTTCCTTTTATTCGTTCTGCATGTTAACTTGGCGAGCTTGTAGTTAAGTTCACTCGCGTTGGTGGTGCGGGACGTCACAAACAAATGGCCAGGGTTCATGTTTTTCATCCCATTCAGGATTTTGAATGTTTCAATGAGATCAGCCCTATTGTGCCTTGTCTGAGGGGTTATCTGTCCTACGGCCCTCAGTCTACTTGAATAATCTAATTTTAGTTGACATAAATCCTGAATCATCTTAGTCGCTCTGTTGCCCCTGACCACACCTACACTCTACGGACCACACTTGACCACACCTACACTCTGAGGACCTCCCATGACCACACCCACTCTGAGGAACACTTGACCATACCTACACTCTGATGATCACAGCCAACTCGTTTAAAGGTTAAGGTAAACTGAAAAATAAAACGGAGAGAGAGCAACGCCGACAAGGGCAGAAACGACGTAAACATAACAGGGAGTAGAGGCCAGTTATTTGGGGGGAATTTCTCTGCTTCACTAAGACTTTTAAACACGTATTCTTAAACATCCCAGGAAAGACCAAAACGCTAGAAAATTTGAGGGAATTAATACCCCAATTATATTTATATATATTTTGTTTTAATATTTTTGTGTTCATTTGATTAGAAATTTGAATAACAGTCATCCTCCTCAGTGTCGCTAATTCCCACCTAATACAAATACTGCTCACTATTAGTCTTGATTTATGTTGTATTCACTTTAAATTACTATGACATCCGGTCAGCTATATTTCACTTTTAACTTATAAATTATCTCAATCTTCATGAATGTATATCACAATCAACGACATACATTATAAGGTATATTTTCCTTCATGATTCACTCGTAAACAAAAGTATCTAATAAATTTTTGTTTGAATTGGTCGAACTTAGTTGTTGTTGTCTGAGTTGTTCATATGTCTTGTTGGTATGTTCCTTGTTTTGGGTCCAGGATCTCGTCTCACTGAATCACTAGAGCAGTGGTCCCTAACCTGTATAGTTCGAGCGCGGAACCTTATTATGGAGACCGCAAGGGTTTATTAGAGAATTTTGAAATAATTTGGATTCCTTGTCAGAGTGAAAATAATGAAAATATGTAATAACTTGTGATTTTAGAGAGAGGGACTCCGTTTGTTCCGATCTGTCGTGTACAGGATGTGTATTTGCCACAGACCGGCCCAGAGATAGCTAGCATGATCCAAGAGTAAATGTAAAAAGTATGTAACTGGTAACAATTAAACAGTTAGACGTCTGTAAAACTGCAAATAACTGAATACTGTATATGAGTTTTGTTTTATCTTGAATGTAGATCCAAAGTTTTGGTGCCGTCCACTATATTTACAATGACAAATGTGGCCCAGAGCCTACAAAAGGTTGGGGACCACTGCACTAGAGTTAACAAAGGTGAAACAAAGACCGAGATTTGGCCTTGTTAATTGAATCCGCCATTCCATAATAGTCACTTGTTTTATCCGGCCAAGTTCCTCCTAGCTGTCATCAGATCCTTCTTCTTCTCCGTCCACCTTCCTCGGTGGACCTGACGGGACCAAATCGTAATATCCAGAGTTACAATCTTGGGCACGAAGTTTTCCACTGAGCTGTCCCCGAAGAGGGTAATGCCCAGACACAAGTTCACCTCGGTTATTACGTGGTGCTGGTGTAGGTGTCGCCTCAGCCTCTGTCACGGTAAATTGGTATATTTGAGACTTTTTCCGAGTCAGCTTTAGAGGTTCATCATCGTGAGCGATGCTGGTCCCCAACACTCTTTTCTTGAGATACTTTTCTATGGGAAGCACGGAGAGGTTTGGGAGGTGGCGCGTTCGGCAATGCTGAAGATTTTGACGTTCTGTTGAATCACAAGATAAACTAAAACCACAGTCAGATCTTTAATTTGCGAGGATATCAAAAATACACTGATAGAATTATAGATAGGTAAATTATGATCGTTATTCAGAGAGTAAGTAGATGTTTAAATGCTTCTACTGTATTTGTTATTACAAGATAATTATATAAGTGAGATACAATAAATAATACAAGCGCCTTATGTCAGACATTTTTCAAAGTTCATACCTGAGCTGAGGATTTTGGACACACATGACATCAAGGATATATCCAAGTGTGAGCAAGGAGGAGACGGTGATGGCGAGAGCGATGGTGGGCTCGTCTTGGCTTCCTAGGGTGAAATTGTGGTGCTGAGGAGTTGCCACCAGCATGAGGCGGCAGGGGTCCCAGGGTAAAGTGTTTGCCACCCTCACCTTCTCTAGCCTGGTCTGCAACACCTCACACTCTCCCTCGTGCACGCTGTCATAAGTACATAGGTTGTGAGCTGCATCATAGGTGACCTTATATTGCAGCAGCCTTTGGATACTTAGTAAATATTAAGTTTTTACCTAACAAAACCTAACAATACTAGACTGACCATAAAGACTGTTATTAAGGTTATCATAAAGTAACTCTTCCACATTACAGCTGAATTAATCTACAGTACTACGTCACTCATTCATTCTCCTGTGTGTGTGTGGCCTACTGTAGGTACTCACGTGAGGTTGCCGTCCTGTAGGGAGATGAGGCAGCTGTTACCATAGTGCGTGGTGTCTCCAGGTGGTGCTTGTAGTCTGTTCGTTCAGTTAGGTGGTCGTCCTCTGATACATCTTCTCCACATGCCTGCTGGATCACTCTGAAGATAAGACAAAATAATGAAGGTGAAGTGTAAATATGTACAACCAAGTCCAATTTTCTTATATTTTAACAATACCCCAAAGACAAGTTCACTTATTATACGTCATTTCAACGTGTGAGTTCCAATTCCCGTTAATCTGAATTGACTTCTTTGAAATGGCAAGTCGTAGGTTCCAACGCCTTCTCAAACTGACAACAATAATCACAGAGCTTTGTAGGATTTTACCAGGAGTGAACCAGTGAACGATAAGTCTACTTAAGTTTGGTAGTAGTACAGTATTCAGTGGTACGTTCCTGCTTAAATTAGGGCATAGATCTGCAATGGCGCGGAGGACCTTATTATTATCGCCACTTTACCTGTAGCCACCCACACCATACCTGTAAGCTGTCAGAGTAACTTGTTTCCTGGTGGCTCTGTCGAGGTCGTCCATCGGCGTGTGAACACCCACCGCGCCCACTATTGTACCTTCCACCCGGGCCACCTCCTGCCGCTCAGCCATCTACAAACAGTAAACAAAGGTGTTAGTTTGTCTGTTGGTATCTAACCGGACAGCTGTTGGTATCTAGCATGGCTGGTACTGCTCACAACCGCCTTCACTTAGTTACCCATTTACAACTGGGTGAAGCGGGAGCAGCACCCACAAATCGCACCTAGAAATCGCACAGTGATCCCCTGACGAGGATGTGAGCGCTGTAGCCACTGACCTATATACCCTAACCTAACTATACCATTATTGCAGGTTGCCAGTGTAGACGATAGTAATATAGGAAGGTTTTATCTTATCATATGTGTGACTGAATATTAAATTATCATGTGGTACGTGACGACATCTGTGGTGACTCGTGGCTACTGTTGAGACCTCCTATTCCACACTCAATGGCTCTCTCTCCCCCTCTCCTACACACACACTTTTCCTTCCACATATCCACACTTACAACCACACCCTCTACAAACAACTATATACCCTTCCACACACACTACCACACCCCTTCGTATACACAGCCACACTCTTCGTATACACAGCCACACTCTTCGTATACACAGCCACACTCTTCACATACACAACCACATCCTCCATACACAACCACACCATCCATACACAACCACACCATACATACACAACACACCATCCATACACAACTACACCATCCATACACAACCACACCCATACACAGCTACATCATCCACACTACAACCACACCCTAGTCAAACAACTATCTCCTCCACACGAACAACCACACCCTCCACACGCACAACCACACCCTCCACACGAACAACCACACCCTCCACACGCACAACCACACCCTCCAACCGCACAACCACACCCTCCAACCGCACAACCACACCCTCACACGCACCACACACCTCAAAACCACATCCCTCGCATACAGTCACACCTCCACATATAGTCACACACACAACCACACCTCCACACACACAACCACACCCTCCACACACACACAACCACACCCTCCACACACACAACCACACCCTCCACACACACAACCACACCCTCCACACACACAACCACACCCTCCACACACACAACCACACCCTCCACACACACGACCACACCCTCCACACATACGACCACACCCTCCACACATACGACCACACCTCCACACATACGACCACACCCCTCCACACATACGACCACACCCTCCACACACACACAACCACCCTTCTCACACACACAACCACAACCTCCACACATACAACCACACCCTCCACATATACAACCCACACCCACACACACAACCACAACCTCCACACATACAACCACACCCTCCACACATACAACCACACCCTCCACACACACAACCACACCCTTCACACACACAACCACAACCTCCACACATACAACCACACCCCTCCACACATACAACCACACCCTTCACACACACAACCACAACCTCCACACACACAACCACACCCTCCACACATACAACCACAACCTCCACATATACAACCACACCCTCCACACATACAACCACAACCTCCACACACACAACCACACCCTCCACACATACAACCACACAACCTCCACACATACAACCACACCTCCACACATACAACCACACACCCTCCACACACACACAACCACACCCTCCACACACACAACCACACCCTCCACACACACAACCACACCTCCACACATACAACCACAACCTCCACATATACAACCACACCCTCCACATATACAACCACACCTCCACATACAACCACAACCCACACACACACAACCACACCCTCCACACATACAACCACAACCTCCACATATACAACCACACCTCCACATACAACCACACCCTTCACACACACAACCACAACCTCCACACACACAACCACACCTCCACACATACAACCACACCCTCCACACACACAACCACACCTCCACACATACAACCACACCCTCCACATACCAAACCACAACCTCCACACATACAACCACACCCTCCACACATACAACCACACCCTCCACACACACAACCACACCTCCACACACACAACCACAACCTCCACACATACAACCACACCCTCCACACATACAACCACACCCTCCACACACACAACCACACCCTCCACACACACACAACCACAACCTCCACACACACAACCACACCCTCCACACACATACAACCACACCCTCCACATACAACCACACCCTCCACATACAACCACACCCTTCACACACACACAACCAACCTCCACACACAACCACACCCTCCACACATACAACCACACCCTCCACATACAACCACACCCTCCACATACAACCACACCTTCACACACACAACCACAACCTCCACACACACAACCACACCCTTCACACACACAACCACAACCTACACACATACAACCACACCCTCCACACACACAACCACACCCTCCCACACATACAACCACACCCTCCACATACAACCACACCTCCCACACACACAACCACACCCTCCACACACGCAACCACACCCTTACACACACACAACCACACCCTTCACACACACAACCACAACCCTCCACACATACAACCACACCTCCACACATACAACCACACCTCCACACACACACACAACCACACCCTCCACACACACAACCACACCCTCACACACACAACCACAACCTCCACACACACAACCACAACCTCCACACACACAACCACACCCTCCACATATACAACCACACCCACACACACACCCTCCACACATACAACCACACCCTCCACACACACACAACCACACCCTCCACACATACAACCACACCTCCACACACAACCACACCCTACATGCAACCACACACCCTCCACACACACAACCACACCTCCACATATACAACCACACCCACACACACCCTTCACACATACAACCACACCCTCCACATACAACCACACCCTCCACATATACAACCACACCCACACATACAACCACACCCTCCACACATACAACTACACCCTCCACACATACAACCACACCTCCACACATACAACCACACAACCACACCCTTCACACATACAACCACACCCTCCACATACAACCACACCCCCCACATATACAACCACACCCACACATACAACCACACCCCACACATACAACCACACCCTCCACACATACAACCACACCCTCCACACATACAACCACACCCCCCACACATACAACCACACCCTCCACACATACAACCACACCCACACACAACCACACCCTTCACACACAACCACACCCTCCACATACAACCACACCCTCCACACATACAACCACACCCTCTACACATAACCACACAATCCACAGACAGCCACACCCTACTCACACAACCTCATCCTATATGCACACAACCTCTAATGTACACACACACACCCTCTCATATACACACACACAACCTCTCATATACACACACACACACCTTCTCATACACACACATAAAACCTCTCATACACACAAACCTCTGATACACACACACACACAACCTCTCATATACACACACACACACCTTCTCATACACACACATAAAACCTCTCATACACACAAACACACACCTATCGACAAATTACTCCGTGCCTCACCTCATCAAATGGCTGTTCCTCCCACCAATTATTTAACAAACTTCGGTTCAGTATATCACTTAAGTCGAGTAGCCCTGGACAATATACACCAGGAACAGCGAGTGATGGCTGGTACACCGTATAAGGAAGTATAGCGACTGTTATTCTCGCTTAAGAGTTCCCGCTTTCCCTCCTGGTAAGCGCCTTTTACTGTCGAGTATTGATAACCAACTGATAACATCTCCGTGTCATAACCATATTGTCCAGAGATAAAACTTAGATATGTTATCAGGTTATCAGAAAACAGTCAATCTTGCTATCACATTTATAACACACAACGATGGTTCTTGCAACTGCTTGTCACACTCCGATAATAATGTATACGTAATCTGAATTTCTACTGTGTGTGTTATTTAATGTTTGATAATTCAATATGTTTTCATTATACAGTATACTATATATCTTGGGAATTTAGTATAATAATAATATCTATGATACTACTAATAATAAGTTCTAATATATATTATTTTTTATAAGTACATTACAATATTATTATTATTCAGTAAATTTCTTAAGTGCATCAATGAAAATGTGTTTATATTATTCCTTCATGAGGTGTAGGAAGTGTGCCGTGAGTGGGATATTGGTTGAACACATAATTACCCAGGTTGGCAGTTTACACGCTAGATCAGGCTAGTGTTGAGTCTTGTTGGTGGGGAAATTTTGGTCAAGGCAGGTTGGCGTTTTTTATGTAAATCATTATATATAATAAAAACATGCACTACAATTGGTCGGAATCCCAATCAACCGGACTGGGCTAAAACAATTCAAAATTGGCTGGATGGGCCACCGTTGCCACAACCCAGGTGCCTAGTATCCCAATAATATATCCTTCAAACACAAAAAAGTATAACCAACATTAAAAAAAATCACATCATGACCAAACAAACATAAGTGTGCTAAGTGGATATCAATGGGATATAAAAATTATTCTTTGGTGTCTGTGAGGTCAGCTGTCACAACACAGCAGGAAGGTCCGGACAAATATGGATAGTCATGAACGGAGCATAACCGCTGTCCTTTAAACACCACGGTTCTCGTTAGCCTTATTCAAGAGAAGGAGAAAGTTATACTGTACAAGAAAAGACACATATTTATCCATCCTGAAATATGGCCTTACCTTTCAGCAAGTCTATTTAGCTGAGAATTCCTAACCTACCTGTAATCACATTTATTTTGTAGCCCAATCAGCATTTCACAAAATTGCTGTAGGTTGTAAATTATTCAATGTTTCAGAATGTTAATATTATTACATTCTGATTTGCTTCATTTATGTTATCCATCCTTGAGTATTGTGCCCCAGTTTGGTGTTCTCACCCCACTTACAAAACCAAACACCACCCAAAATTAGTGGGTTAAAAGTCAGTGTTTCACCTATTTATTTGTTTATAAACGGTGTTAGGATTGTTTTTACTAGATATGTCTCATGGGGCTAACTATCCATTTGCTTTGCTTATCTTTAGTTCCTTAATTTTTACTTTGACTTCAAAGTCTTAATCTGCATCTTTGATTACCTGATGGAGTATAGGAGTAATGCACCTGCCTTGCCAGCCAAGAGGATGCTTGTAAGTCCTATATATAATACTCAGTCCCAGGACACCATGCCATCAGATACTGTACACGTGGCTAACTCAAACAAGTGTAAAAAATGACTGTAAAACACGTCATGATGATAGCAACTCCCACGTTAAGAGCAGAAAACTCAAAATTACCATTGGTGACATACCCGGTACTGTATTACATCAAATTATGGATCACGGTCGCTCCATGATATTTGAATCATGGCATGAAAAATCAAAACGTATCTCATACATCCTTAGGACTCCGGTCACTCATGTTAAGCAGCATCTGTAAGTCTAAAAGGGGTTAAAAATATATTAAAATATGAACCTTGTAGTTTTTCCTTCTCATGGAAAATCCGTAAATTTATGTACACTTCTTACCTAGATGTAAGTGTCAGTTGTGTCCTCTATTAACATTAATATCATTTCCAAATTTAATCCACAAACAAATACCTGTATACGAGGAGGAAAAGCAAAATCAGAAATTTCTCAAATTTTATTCTCCTCATCCATGTTTCTCTTAAGCTACCCCACACAGTGGGAAATTGTATGAAGGAAAAACTCACATTTAAAGGCACTTCAAATTTGTGAAAAGCAGGAAAGAATCTAATTATTCATGTAATATAAAATTCTTAGTATGAATCTTGGGAAGGAAAACAAACATAACAATCCAAATATACTGTGTAAATTATTTATTTGTATTTATAGCTCTAATGTTATTGATGAAAACATAAGTTCAGGTTCCCTCTCATCCAAGAGTGATCAGTTTGATCAAAGATACTGGATCAGCTTTTGTTTTTTATGAGCAATCACCTTAAATGAATGTAGTTTGCTTTAAAGTCTAAAATTAGTACAGTCTAGTTCATGTACAGTATATACTCAGACTTGTGTGTATATGAACAGAACTGTGTTCAATGGTTTGATAACTTTTTGTCACTTTCATTTATATGATTGTTATATCTTGTGAATCAGAAAAACTGCCTATGTTTCAACACATATCTACACTGTAGATGCTTTGCCCTTAGCTTGCAGAACAGAAGCACATTAATGCACATTTATAACAGCTTCCAACCCACAAAGACACTAATGTCAAATTCTAGTTTAACTAATTTTGATACTCTTATACCACTATATATAGTATTACCTGGGATAAATAATTAATTTTCTATCATTTAAGGGATACCTACATAATCTCCTGTACTTTAGTGATCATTGGATAAAGGGACACAAGTTCCCTACTTCCTTCTGAGGATGGTACTGTAGTCATATCACATACCCTCACTTCTCTTGTCTTACATGTCCAGTACCTACTTAACAACACCCAATGTCAAACTCTATAACTAATTCTATGTCGGGAGAAAAAATTAAATAAGAATAAAAACTGTCAGTTAAGAAATGTAAACAACATTAGCAATAAAATTTACATAAAATTTTGCATATTAGTGTCATTGATGAGTACTTTATAACTGGGCCCTTTTGAAATTGATAACTTCAACTACTAGCCTGCTCTTTCCTTCCTGAAGTATTTAACCAGTGGTAAATCTGTGAGTAGAACTTTTAAACCTTCTTACATATCTGGACAACATCTTCATCATTCAAGACATGTTCTTTTCCCACCTTCTGTGGCTGATGCTTGACTGAACTTCCCCACACTAGGGCACTGTGAAAATATTATATAAATTAAAATTTATTAAGAAGAAAAGTATTCAACACACACTAAAATGTAAACCATGAAACTCTTTGTCATGTAACTAACCCCTTCACCAGAGGAGTTTATTCAGCACAGTAGTTAAGTAACGCTTGCAATCCCAATATATTGTTTGCTTGTGAATAGGGATGCATCAGTGGTATTGGCCTATTTTGGGAGTACCGTACAGTACCTGCATAAGTATCTGTAGAAGTTTTGGGAAGAATTTTGCCGTTTATGTATGTGTGGCTTGGCACCACGTGTATTTTTTTTTTAATTTCAAATTAAATTTGGTAAAGAAATAAAAAAAAATCAAATGATTTTTACTTTCTGGAAAGGAGATCCAAAAGTCTTGCTGCACACCCTGAGTCCCAAGAAGATGTATATTTTACATTCACAAAAAAATTTAAGTTTCTGTCAAGTCAGCAGATCTCATCTCATACATATAGTTAGCCATCATTAAGCTTACTTACTATTTTTTAATAATTTTTAATTTTCTATTAGTATCGGTATCAGTACAATATCGGCACAGGATTAGAGTACAGGTATCAGTATTAGCTAAAATTCGGGTATCTGTACATCCCTACTTATGAATATTTACAATTTAAAAAGTATTACTGTACTTGTTAAATACAAAACTGAGAAAAAAAATGGCAGGATTAGGTAAGAAGATTAGGAGAAGAGCATTAGGTATAATGATTAGTATGAGAGTGAAATAACAGTGCAGGCAATATATACAGGATATAGATAAATACTTTCACTTCTACTTACTATTTAAACTCTCTTATGATGGTGCGATGAATTTTATTACAAAAATCTTCAATAGTCTTTTTATCGGCTCGTAGTACAACTGGGGCACTGTAGTCTGGCAGCTGACCTTTGGGCTTGGTGTAGCTGTCAAGTACAAAATGATACAACTGTATAATGCAAGATCTATGGTAACCTGGAAATCTTGATGTCTACGATGATTCATTGAAAACCTGTGATCTTGACCAATGTCACAGAATAAAGTAGTATTCCATTTGATGTTTTACACTTCACCTACTGATTATACATATTCATGGAAAGTTTCAATAAAATATTTAAATGGATACAAGTCACATTCTGGACAAAATTTTGACACTTGACCTACCGACTTAAATTTGAGTATCAGTACTTCGTCTAGCTGCAAAGACTGTCCTCTAGAGGCCAGAGATCTCATTATTGGTTGTACCCACCAAGTTGATACACATCTATCACCAGTTAAATTCCAAGACCAATCTGCCACTTTCCATTCAGTTTCTAGCTGACTAACCACACACCCAAGGAAGGAGTGAGGGTACCCAAACTGCCTAATATGGGTTAAGCTAGAAAATGGGATTTTAGGGTCAATCCCCCATTTACACTTAAATGCCTGTCATTATTTGCATCTACAAACAGGCAGCCAAGCAAGAAAAGCAGGTGGTAGTAGTACCAAAGCTCCTTTATGGGTAGACATCCAACCTGCAAAAGAATTACCCCCAACCACACTACAAATAGGAATTAAAATTAATGATCCTCAGCTCTCCCAAAGCTCATTGATGTAAGACTGGTAAGAAGGGAAACTGAGCCTGTAATGTATAGGTCAGAGCACAGTACTAAAACCAGAACTAACTTAACTACGCTTAAGATCTAATCTCCTTTTGAGGATGAAAAGTCTAACATATAGAGATGGATGGCTGTAAGATTAGCCCCAGTTGCCTTGGACCAACCCTGTAATTCAAGCATACTGAGTAATGCAGGCTTACATTCTGCAGAGGTTCAAGTACTCCCACATCCTTTCCAGCAAATCATCAAAGTTCCACTTGTGATGAGCAGATATTGGCACACAGTGAGGGATCCGATAGATGATGTCCAATTCTTCAATGCTGATCTGATCTGAGATTTATAAAAGAAGAAAAAATTAACTACTGTACTGTAGTTTAGTTTGGTAAACTTGCAACTCCCCTACCGAAATTTACTAATGTGTTTTCTCGTAAATGATAGATACTACAAACTGCTCATGCTGGCTTGAATCTCAAGTGAAAGGTTAAGTTTATTCATCCCTTCCTCCATCCACACTTCTGGTCTGTGATTACCGATATAGCTACCCTACATAGTAATGTATTCTTATTATATAAATACCCTGCACAGTATAGTACTGTATTCTATAAAATGTTATCAGATATTTCACCTAATCAATCACTCAATCAGTTTTCTATTTTGTATCTTAAGTTTGTCTCTTCAGCTCATCAAATCCAGATACTTCTCCAATGTGAAATAGTTCTAATCTTACATTAGCTATTAAGGATTTTTCTAGTTCCATCAGCTTTATACAGTACAGTAAAATTATTTAATGGTAGTTCACACACTTCATGTACAGTACCTGCTCGAATACATCTTGTGAGGAAAAACATCTTCGAAATACTGTCCAGTAATAAATTTTCTCTATATCTCATTGGGGAAGACGCAAAATCCAGACATGTTTAAGAAAATTAATTCACAACACTGCTAACTTACCAATCTTATTAAGAAGATAGATGCAAGGGATATAGACCCGGTTACCCTCTATCACATCAATCAAGTCATCAGCTGTGGCATCGTACTTGAGCACAATATCAGCATTATGAATACGGTATTCTGCAAGAATTGTCTGCGGACGCAACATGTTTATATCGATTAATGACAGAGGTGAAAAATAAAATTGCTTACAATCCTAAAGATTTGCAATGAACATAATAAAAATTTAGCAATGCAAAAGTTAATCTCATATTCTGTAAATACAACCCAATGGAATTTATCTGGATACAACAAATTTGTGTAATTAGGTATAAGTAATTTCGTCAACCTTACAATTATCCTATGGCTTTATGTATAAAATACAGTACACTGGCCCTATACAGAATTCTCATTACTCTTGTAACAGTGAATCAATACAGACCTTGACAAGCTCCATGTCTAGCTCAGTCTGTTGCACAACACACTGAAGATTCACCCCACCTTTCTCCTTTCTGCGGAATGTAATCTGAGGTGGTTCCTGGGGGATAGGTGACATATTGGTTTCTAGAGTAAAAGCAAAAATAATTATGAAATAAACAAAATTTCCCTTAACCAGTTTCCAGCAAGTGACCTTGATCTTCAACCTAGTACTGTTACTTCAAATAACCACATTCAGTATTTTCCGTTCAAACTGCAACCCACTGAATTGTAATTACAAATGTACCTACTTACTAGCCTTCCAATGCATGAAACCATAAATTATGTTGAAAAGTACACAAAATACTCTGTAAAGTATACAAGTACAGTGTTTATAACAGGAAAATTATCACATTAATATATAGAAAGGCATCTAAGTTTCAAGATTACATTACATATTACAAATAATATACTGTACAGTACTGCATTTCAAGATGCAAATATATTTCACCTTATTCAGTCTGATGCCAAAACCTTCCAGTTCTTTTTCAAGCAGCTTCTTTTGACCAAGGGGCTTCAACACATCCAGGACAATGAAGATAAGGGAACAGGTTCGAGCTACAGCAATAACTTGCTTACCTCTGCCCTTACCATCCTTAGCTCCCTCAATGATGCCAGGAAGATCAAGCAACTGAAAATAAAACCTTTTTTTTTTTAAACCATTGCAGCATGAAGCAAACAACAGGATACAATTGTCACTGAATTAGTAGCATCTTTTAATTTAACATTATAATAATAGTAAATGCTGTGGTGGGCACACTATCACCTTGTTACACAATATACCAATCAAGCCAGTTACAGTACAGTATTGTATTGTTCTTATTATGATTAGGAAAGAGTGTGTGTAGCAATATCCAAATTTTATTCCCAAATACAGGTTCATTGAAAAACAGGTGATTCTAATTTATTTTTTGTCATTAAGAAGTCAACAAGAGCTAGATAATGCTAATACTGTACACCTAGAGGTGGAGGCAAATCAGTGTGGTAGCCATAGGAAAATAGTCTGGATTGTGGGGAGAAAATGAGACTGAGAGGTCATGTTTTCTATACAGCTGGCCAAGGTAGAGAATGATAGAGGAAACCTTCATAGTCTAGGGACTCTCTTTACTTTTAAGAAATGAGGAGTCGAGCTGTGATGGAAAGATAAGCTACTCTTACAGTCTTAAATAGTAACTGCTATAGCTAGTCAAACAAATAAGGGTGAACATTATGGCCCTAGGGAGGTTCATAACCATTACAGGAATATTTGTAGTAAAAAAAAAATTAAGAAATCATAATTTTGTTGTTGTATAAAAATTCACAGCCAATTATTAAGCAAAAACTTCAGTTTTCTTATTATAATTTGTAAAAAAGCAAGAATTTTAAACCATATTAAGTACTCACCTGAATTTTGGCTCCCTTGTACTTTATACAACCAGGCACAGTAGTGAGGGTGGTAAACTCATATGCTGCTACCTCTGAGTAAACACCAGCCAGGTTGCTCAGTAGTGTTGACTTACCCACTGATGGAAAACCTTCATAAAACAAAACAGTACTGTCATTAGCTTTGTGCACTCCAGTTTATGAATTTTTATATAACTGTGTTACAGACAAAAGGTAAAACTTCAAACTATTATATAAAGTATTTCCATTACTTTTCAGGGGCAATGGTTGCATTGGGAGAGATATTTTTAGAATACTGTACAGTATAGTCCTAGTCATACAAGTCAAGGGTCCTGGGGGGTCTCAACTCTTAACATCTGATGATGTAATACAAGTCTCCCAATCTAGTGCTTAGACAGCATTATAAAATAAGATTATTAAAACTAATTTGGATATAATAAACATCTCAATAGAGAGGAATACATACCAACAAAACCAATTCGTGCATCTCCAGTTTTTGCAACATCAAAACCTTCACCGGCACCACTACCACCACCCTTTGGGGTAATCAATTCTCGCTTCAGTTTTGCCAGTTTAGCCTTCAGTAAACCTAAATGACCCATGGTGGCCTTATTCTTTTGTGTGCGGGCCATCTGCAATGTACAGTAATGTTTTAATTAATAAGCTATTTACTACTGTGCCATGCAGTACTGAAGATTGCGCATGGAAATCACCCTGTTCACTGTAATACTTTGACTCACCCACTTCAGACAGCAGGCTATACTTATCAACCAAACATACATAATGGGTGCAGGGAAGGTTAGGCCAAGTTTAGTTGCTCCAAAACATCAGCTGAACATGGAAAATTATTTAAAGAAAATTAATACAGTAGATTATTTCAACAGGTAGATTTTGGGGTATTATTATTACCTTTGTTGCCAAAAGATAAAATACTACAATGATGTCATTTTAATCTTATTACTCAGTATAATCCAAACAACAACAGCTGAAAATTTGGTTCAATTCCATAAAGTTCTTCTGGCAGAAACAGTCTCCTCCACCTTTACCAAACAATTAAATACCTTGGTTCTAGGTCATTTGTGAAGGAAGCATCATAGAAGAAAAGTTTCTTAGAATTGTCCAAACTATTGATTGCAAAGATAAAATTCCTGAAATTCAGTTGGTGGCAACTAATGCAATAATACCAGTAGTTGGTAATATTTGGTTAACATACTGTACTCTGGAACAGGATCCTATGTTAGCCAGCAACATTAGGAAACTTTTCTATAGAGATTAATCTGTCTTAATTCAATAATATCCCAAATACTTCCCAGTGAACATTCCATACCTAACGTAACTAAACTTTCCTTACGGACCTAAAATAACGTACTTCCGTGGTAGGATAGGCAGGTGTGGTTGTTTCATCTTACCTACGATGCATCAAATACCTGAATCTAGCACTCACTGGGAAGCATTTGGGTGTTCCTCTTTCTATGAAACATTCTAAACAGTCAAGAGGTAAGCGCATTGATGACAAATCGTCAGAACTTTACAAAACTTACAATCCCTCGGGAACTCTTCCAAATTTTGACTACTTTTTTTTTTAATTGGCATAATAAATGTAGATTTTATGCTGATTTCAAATATGGAAAAAACTAAATAATAATCCCGGAAATGATCGGTTTAAAAGATAAACACAATTATGTTATGCAATTACCGTACACGCATTCATATTGCACCAACCTAATATGAAGAATCTGCTAATAGTCACGCTATAAATAATCTTGATGAATTTCTGCTATAATGCATTTTGGGTTTTTTTGTCGAGATCCTTACCTTAGTAACAACATAATTTTAATTTGTTTAAATAAATCGTGTGGTTGCGCTCAGTAACTAAACCTAACCTAACCCAACCCAACGTAACCAGTAAAATTGCACATTACAGCAACCAAAAAATCTGATAAAAAAAAATTGTTACCTAACCTACCCTAATGTAATATAAGAAAATGATCATATAAAAAATAGTTCTGATTGAGTGTAATGAATTTCCAGAATTCTGTAGTTGCTGTTTACTGCAATATTACCACATAGCCTAACCGAACACAAAAAAAAAGAATAATTCGTTAACAGTTCATTTCCGGGAAAAAAGAATTACATATTTGAAATCAGCAGAAGATTCTACATTTAATAGGTCATTAAACAAAAAAAGTAATACATTGCGAATTTTGTAAACGACCCATCCCTCCACGTTAACTTTCTATTGAACATTCCCTAAGTCCCTGGGCCTCATTCCACAATGTTATCTTCACTTTAGTAAATCTCAAATAAGGGCACAACCTCATTAATTACTGTTCTTTAGTACTGAATAATGAGAAGCAGTTTATTGATGATTTATGTTAATACACCGGGACAGCTGGGGTGAAGGCAGGCGTTATTTCTCACATTCATCATCCATAGGCCTTTACCTCCTGTATTTTTCTCTCCTTTGTAGAACTACATAGTTTTACTGTGAAAATTTACTTCATTTACTGATGCCTTTTAAATTTATTTTAATTTACAAGACAATAGGGTAAAGTAAATGACAGTAGAACATGAGGTTCAATAAACACATGACGTTAAATGAAGTGTTAAACCATCAACCTCGTACTTGAGGGAACTGTCTTTACCTCAGCCTCGATGTCGGCTATTTTTTGTAATATACTCATGATGGCGGAGTTGTTATACGCCTAATTTACTAATAAAACAGTAGGTGAAGGGACCTCCCCCACGTCCACGGCTCCTGGGGCAGTGTTTTCATATGACTGCTGCCATCTGGTGTGTGTGGGGCCGGGAGCTGACGGTCACCATGCGTAGTTATTGATATATATAATCCCCAAGTTTTTATTTTGCTCAAATTCTCAAAATAAGAACTGTTCAGTACTCCTGAACATGGTGATTACAGGTCTGTGGTTAAAATTTTGATATTTGTCGTAAGGATTTCGAAAATGTTATTTTTTTTAAATGCTAATTAATCAACTATGATTTTTCCATTGCATTTTTTGTGTTGTTCTGAATGTACTAAAGTAGTTACATACACTAATTTCCAATTATAAGAGAAAGGGGCTTGACAGCCTAAATATTACTAAGACCTTACGGTTGCAGTCATAATCAATTCAATTTCAATTTCAATTGTTTATTCCTTGATAGAGGAAGCGGGATCCTAGTGCTGTCACTAGGTACCCCTGTACAATGACACCAGAAGCATCTGGCAAGTGTGACAAGTATATACAGTATAAATATTATAAAGGGGCTTACTAAAGCCTAAGGAAAGAAAGATATTCCTTTAACACATAATCAATATTATTTACAAAATATCTGGCCAATATGGGTTGGATCATCGTGTCTCCGTCAGGGGGTCGTGGAGTGGTGGTCCAGCAGGCGTCACGGAAGCGTTGTGTGTGGGGACATCTTCGGAGGTAGTGGATAAGGGTGCTGCTGTCGGGTCTTCTGCATAATGCACAAGAGCGTTGCTCAGGGGATGCGGGGATACCAATCTCCCAAGCAAAGTCATACTCAATGATGATACGGGCAGCAATCACGTCCCCTTTCCGCGACCCTTTCCCGTAGACATACGAGAGGTCAGGAAGTTTACGGAGGACATCGTACCAGGTGGGCAGGGAGTCCAGAGGGATGGCTGCTTCCCGAGCTTCTCTCTGTTTGCGGCGAATTTGGGTCCTAATCTGTAAGAGTGTTCGAGGAACAACGTAGTCAGGTGTGGCCTAGTTGCAGCCAGTCTTGGCAAGGCCATCTGCTGCCTCATTCCCCAAGATACCGACATGACTGGGTATCCATAGGAATGTCACAGGACTGCCTGCATCCTGAAATGTGGATGTTAACCCCCGTATTCGGAGGATGAGGTCCTTATTTTCCCCTGATCCAAATGCGATCCCGTCGAGAGCTGACCTGGAATCGCAGCAGACAAGCAAGGGGCAGAAACCATCTGCTTCTTCCACAGCGAGAAGGGCAGCAAGGAGGGCTATTAGTTCAGCCAGAGTGTAGGATGCCCCGTCAGAAACTCTGAGAGACAGTTTGATAGGCTCAGGGGCATCAGGACGGGAGATGTAGACACCAGCCCCGGCCCTACCTGTAGCGGGGTCAACAGAACCATCAGTGTAGAGGACGACCCTACCTGGGGACCAGTGGGCGATCGTGGAGAGGTGGTATTTGCAGAGAATAACAGGGTTCACCTGGGATTTCGGGAGCGGTCCACCGAGGGCAATCACTTCAGGTTGAAATTCAATATATATATATATATACTGTATATATATTGATTATCAAAACATGCAAACATTTCTATAAATATGGGGGCCCACAAGTACTGTACTGTAGTTAAATCCGGCCCTGGTAAGCAGCCACATGAGGCAATCTCCATGCCCCCTCAATGTTGTCCTGTCCATTGTTGTATGTGGACCTACACTACTCTCATCTCATCTTGCAGTGCATGGAATTTCCATCATTATTTTGACTTATGCAACATATGTCTATCTGTCTTTCTAGTGTAGTGGCAGTGTCACATGTGCTCCACTGGGCACCAATAGAAGGAGCCTTGTAGGTGTCATGATCAAGAAACATAGATTTTCCTTGTTTAATGGTGAATAGTCTTAATGGGTTAAGTTGGAAGTACCTGTACAATAATGTACTGTACTGTACCTCATCACTGAGGTTAGGGAAATATTGAAATCATAATGGTGTAAGAATACTGTACCTGAATAGATGAGCTTAAAAAATTAATAAGACCTTTACTTCTCAGTATTTATCACATGTGGTAAATCAAATTCAATCATTTTAAGCAATGGTGTCTATAGAAATTTTACTTTTGACACTGGGAGCACTTTTGAGGACAGGTAAAACAACTTTAAAGCACTAAAATGCTTTATTTTTCATTAAAATAATAAACTACTTTCGTGAATTTGTACATGAGAAATGTTCAAAGACATTGTATCTACACTATATTCAGGGATGTGATACAAAAGTGGTTAAGTATTCATAAATTCTATGATCAAAACAAAGCATTCACCATAAATATCACTGAAGGTACCAAAGCCAAAGATTTTTTACTTGTTCCATCTTTAAAAATCTATATCTGCATTATTCCCAAACAGTTCTGTTGCTAACCACTTGCTGAAAGAACATGTTTCTTGCAACTTGAGTGAATGGGAAGGTGTATGATACATTCTGTGAGCTGTAGAGGGGCCATAGTACACAGTAAATAAAATGTCAACTTTTTAGATCCTAGACTTTTTTCAACAAATCCAAGAAAATCATAATGAGACCAATGTAGGTCTTATAGTGAACTTAACAAATCCCTGGTCAAATAGGCTATACAAGTATTTATGTTTTCTTACAGGTTATTAAAACAATAGCCCAACTGACCAGGTCACCATCTAGAAAATTGTCACAAACTGAGTTGTAGAGGGGAGGAAGGGGGTACAAGAAATCCCAAAAATAATAGCCAGGTGTCTTTGTATGGCAGAGAAGTGAACAATACAGCATTGAGCTTGTTACCATATGAAAAAGTTATCACTGAAAATTTTTAACCTGTAACATTTTAAATTTTAAATTAATATACAGTACTGTACTTTCAAACTTCTTTTCGTTTTTTCCTATTTGTTATTATGTAATACGTCTACTCATTTACGTGTTCACTAGGCAAGCCACCCTTTACCCTTTGCACATCACACCCTTACTTGCGTCACACCCAAACCAGAATGCGCAGGGCCAGGTCCTTAACCTTCCCATAGTTCATTCTTCTGTAGTCTTGTTTACCTTCTATCTGTGAGAACAGGTTTGGAGGTGTAGCCACAGTGGTGTTTCCTGCCTTCCCTAATCTCCTTGGTGTTCCTACTTGTGACAGTGATATGTGGAACTATCTTGAAAATGAGCTCACCTCATAAATTTAAAATACTGTACCAGGCACCTTACTACTACTACTACTACCCTCCCTCCCTCCTGACAAGAGCACAGTAAAGTTGCTGCAAGCTTATCCAGTGATTTGTGTAAAAGTTCAGAAGTGGTGTTTATTATGAGGCAAACGATGACTCCATCTCATACATTTTGTTTACCATATTTAAGAGAATTTTTAAATTTTTTGGGATTTTCACCATAGGCTGATAGTCTGGCATCACTTAAACCTTGGAAGAATGGGTCATTTTTCCTCACTATTTTCTTTTTCTTGCTGCTCTTCATTGACTTCCCAAGAGCAGTGGGAATTTGTCCTTGCCTATTTTTGTTTTTCTTCCTTTTCTTTGAACTTACCACTTCTGATTCAGACTTTTTAATTTCTGTGTTCTCTGCTTCCACTAAATTGGTCTTCTTTTTCTTTTTCTTTTTCTTTTTTTGTGGCAAACTATCTCCTAGTTCTGAGACATTTAATATAGCCTCACTTTTCTTGGCTTCCTCAGTCATCAATGATATATCAGCAATTTTCTGCAGGTTCTCCTGAGAGTAATGTTTATTTTGTTCTGAATGTGAGTGAGTGTTCTCATCCATGCTTTCATCTGGTAGTACTTTTGTGTTGCTGGTCTGAGGGGAATCTGAAAAGTCAAGTTCATTTTGTCCAGCACGTTTTTTCTTTTTCTTGGGCAAGTCCTCATTTGCATGTTCAAGTTGTCGCTTATTACTGTTGCTTGTTTCATTATTGTGTAATACTTTAGTTTCTTTTGCTGCTGAAGACTGGTCATTATGAACATTTTCATCTATACGACCTTGCTGTCTCTTTTCTCTCCTTAATTTCTTTTTAAGATTTTTCTGCCTCTTTTTTTCTTGCTCTGTTATTTGAAGTTCTTCAGGATCTCTGCAATTAAAATTAAAAGTTATAATTAATTTTTCTTCAAAACAATGATGTAACACATACTGTACTATGGAACATATAAAATTTTAAAAGAAAAAACATAATGAAATCAAGTTAAAACAGTATCCAGTACTTTACCTTTTTTAAGTTTTAAGATAGAGAAAGTGTTGTAAGTCATTTTACAAATTTCACCAATTAAAAACTTAAGTGCGTCATGTACAGTCGCCTGCATTTATACCTGGTAGCTACAGTAGATTGCATGTTTTGTGAGATGTGGCAACTGTGGAATGCTTACAGTATCTAGCATCCGTAGTCTAGCTACAATTGCAAAGTTCCTCAAGGCCATTCCGGGAGTTTTAATGTGATGTAAACAAATACACATCTGCCACATCTGACAAAGCATGCCAGCCACCATGCCAGGAATAAGTGCAGGCGACTGTAGCTCCAAATTTTTCTAATGTTGAAGAATTATGATATAAAACATTGTGTTACTACAGATAATGTATAAAAAACTTCCCTCACTATAATAAGACACTTATTAGGCTTTTAACTTTAGCACATAAAAAACTCTAACATTGTGACAAGAAAAACTTATTACGTTTAAGATAAATAGCTAATAATGTGACGGCATCTAGGAAGAAAACAAGGACACCACTTACTCGACAAACAAGCTCGGGAGGATCTTTTGTTTTACATGGAGGTGCTCGGCGCGTTTCCTGCACTTAATGCGATCTTGTTGCTCATCTTTATTTGTTCGCTGATACTGTAACATCTTCTTCAGTGAAACCCATCTATTGAGTTCTTTGTCTTGGGCTGTCAGAATCTGTAAAATGACATCATCATCAGGAAGAACTTAATACAGTACTGTACACCACTTCAGTTTTACATTTGAACTACAGTACATAAACTGCATGTACAGTAATACATTACTTTTCTCGACTAAATACACTAATCCCCCATATTTGCGAACTCCATATTTGTGAATTCACTTATTCACAAAAAATTATTGGTGACCAATTATTCAAAATTCATGATCAGAATTCAGCTATACATGAGGCTGTTAGAATTTTTTGGACCGACCGTTGGCAGATGCGCATCTCGCACACACACTCCGAGGTTAGTCAGTTCTCTCGTGTGTGCCACACCATCCTCCCTTCCCACTCCACCCAATACATGGGCACAGGAAGGGTGACTACCATAGCACCCCAATATTTTGGGTCTAAGGTACTATAGCTACAGTGCACCACAAAGTATCTAAGGCACTAGAATTAATATTCAGTACCTAGTAAAATCTGGTTCCTGCAGTACTGGCCCAGTAACACCTAACAACCTCCCTCATTCATGTCAGACCACTGTATGCAAAACATCTCCACTTTTATGGTAAAGCCAATGTCATAGACTTTATTTAATTTACAACTATCTGAACCTTCTAGGTATCTGAACTTTGTCCTCTTTCACCCGTTTCAGTAAAAATTCTAATTTAGTCCAACAATCCAAATGCAACTGAAGTCATTCATTTGTGTGTCTGCTACCAGTAGCGTTATACAGGGAGTCATAGCTATACATCAGGGTTACGTTCCTAAAAACGCGACGTTATACGAAACAACGTTAAGCAGGACGACATTAAGCGCGGACTGCCTGTAATTGCTTTGTTATAAAAAATTACTATGATAAACAATAAAATTTATAAATATCATATCATAAAATACAATAGCACATATTTTATGTAAAAAAAAATACCTCCTTACACACTCAGATCATCATCTACACGACACCACACAGTTCAGCCAGGCAATCAACCAGCTGACTGAGATGTGTGTGTGTGTATGCCATGACGTCACATGGTGGGGGATACAGGGGAGTCAGCGGTCCTCAACAACGCAGTACAGTTCACTGCCTCAACACATACAGTACACACCTATGCTCTTCATTTTTTTTTAGTTTTATATTATATTTTCCTTATTTCTAAGCTATATTAGGACATTGAATTTTTTACTCCTTTACTCTGTATTGTATTAAAGAAAATATATTTAGTAGGGTATACTATAACATCCTGGGTGATTTAAGTTATGTGTTTATTGACATACCGAGACTTGAATTATATGTAGAGAAAACAATTATTTTTGGTAAAATTTATTAATTTGTACTCCTACAGTATTACAAAAGCTCAATCCATATAAACATCAACACCATCTCTGAAACATTTATCAAATCTAACCCAAAATATGACAACATTGATAATCTTGGTAGCCATGATATTATACCCTATTTTTTCCATAAGGTATTTAAATTCAGTATTTGTGAATTCATGATTTGCGACGATTTCCAGGAACATAACCCTCGCGAATAAGGGGGGATAAGTGTATTGTATAGAACAATCCACAACCTATTTATATTAGATAATAATGTTTTTTTTTAACTTTCACTTTTTTTTTTTGAAAATTGCATATATGGTGCACGAATAATTCACTACAAACTGCAACAAAAGAATCAATTGGAGAAAATTGTCACAATAAATATATCTTTTGTATTAAAGAGTAATTCTTAAAATAATTTAGTTAAATGAAAGTAAACACTAACCTCTTCAGTTGTGAGTCCAAAGTCATTGCTCTCTACCTTCCTGTACTTAAATCTGCAAGGAATATCTCCAATAATATCTTCAAAATCCAACTGGTAATATTCATCAAAATAGGAGTCAAAATTCTTCTCCTTTGGATCAAATATTGGTTTATTTTTAGATATAGCTTTGGCGAACTTTGATTTTCGTCTGCCTTTTTTTCGAGTAGAAGCATTAATCATTTCCTTCTGCAGGTCCTCCTTAGCTTGTGAAGGGTCATAATCAGCATCCATCTGAAAAATACAGTTCTTAGGTACATTCCCACTAAAAGAGTTTAATTAAAATCAATGCCAATACATTTTCCTTCTGTCATATAGGATAATCAGAACAGGATCTTTCCTTGGTTAAATCTCAACATTTCCATTCTTTACCTAAATATTCATACAGCGAGTCCTAGTACATTACTTCATGCCTCGTTCTTTCATCTACTTTCATTTGTAATTAAGTTATGTTACCTTGGTAATTTTTCATATAATTTTTTCAAAATTTTCCCATCTTTTACTCATCAATCACTTAAAATTTAATCTTACAAACATCTCCATCTCTCATTCTATCCACTTCAAACTCTACATAGCATTAATTACTGTATACAATACTTAATGCTCTCAAAATATATTATCACTAGGATCTGAAAGTACTGTACTCTTGATTGAACATTCTTATATTTCCTGATTTTGTTCATCAAGCTTCAAATCCTAATCTAAATAACTTCTTAATAATTCAGTAAATCTGTACACTGTTCTTCTAATCTTCTCACTCACATTCGTGTTTCCTGTTGGTAAATCAATTTGGATTTTATGAGATTCACAATGTACAATTGCAAACAGAAGTCCTGTTGTCTCTTCTGAGATTCAGACTTCTGAATCCAATTTTTTGGGGAACAGAATAATGCATCAGTGTCTACTGCTTCAGGTTCACGAGTCTGAATCTCAGGGTTTGTTGTGCAGCAGAAGAGACAACAGGACTTCTGAATTTTCTTTTGGGTGCCTTAGTCATCTCCTGTCACGATCCATATTTACCTTGCACCACTCTTCCTATATTTCACCTGTACTCTGAGTTCCCTGTTCTCCGTGATCCTTCTTACACAACAGTGGGACACCGGTAAAGACAACTGATGATTTTATGGGCCTTTTTTTTTCTTTCTTTCATAAAATTTCTTCAGTGTCAGTGTGTTTACTATAACACAAACTTGTTTATGTTTGACAAAAAAGTTAAATGCAATAGTACTCTGATGCATACCAAATGAATCGGTTTCTTCCTCAATACTTCCCTAACCTCTTTATTCATTACATGGTGTATATTGTCATTATCAGACGAGATCATAGCCCAAAAGTTATCACTAGTACCTTAACAGAATAATTATGACCTATATGTTGTTCACTACTATTACCACCTATGGTATACACAACAAAGTTGCCTTGAAATCAAACCCCTCCAAAATGAATAAAAATAAAAGGGACTCCTCAACAACCAGCACCCAAGACTTATCTGATTATAGCTAATTGAGTGATCTGCATCAGGCTATATTGCTGGGATACCAAAGAGTAAGAACTAAATAATATATCATGTTAAAGAGACATATAAGAGAATGGATTTGGGGTATTCATAATTTGCTAGCTTAGAGGATTTTCTTTTATACTGACATTGAAATTATCTCCATCCCAGTTTACATGGTCTTCTTCATCTGCCTCACAGTCACCGGCATTTTGAGTCGTGCCAGGGCCTTGTCTCTCCATCCACTCATCATAATCCTCTGAAAATTGTGAAAACTAAATATACTTTTCATATTTCTTCATACCATCATCCCCTTTACAATGTCCTATGCTATATTTACACTAAGTTCAACAGAGACAGATGCCTGTTCACTCTTAACTATACTGAATAATTAATTTTCAAGTTCCTATTATTTATCATTTAATTCATGTCTTAGTTTAACAAGTGAGAATTTTTTAATAATGCTATACACTTACGTATAATATCTTCATCATCACTAAACACCGGCTTCTCTGTATCGCCGTCGTCAACATAGTAATCATCTCCAAACATGCGGGACATCACACCATCATGAGCTGCTGGATCGAAGTCATCATCCAATTCCTTCTCCTGAAATTAATATATACGTATTGTATTAGGGATGTGAGTGGTTTTACAGGAAATAGTGTCATGGTTATAAGAATCAAGTGTATGCAGTAAAGTAAATGAGTGAAAAGTTTCTGAAGAGGGGAAGTATTTGTTTGTGGCATTTATGTATCTGGGAAAAATGAATATAACACAAGTAATATAAAAACAATATAGATATAAGAAGAATTGAAGAAGTGTGGAAAATTATTATAAGCTATTCAGAATTTTTATATGGAAGTGAAGCATAAAAGTCGTGTTTTAGGGTGAAAGAAAAGGGGAAATTGGTTGTCTCTAATGTCCTTTCTTTAACCCGTTCACTATGGGGACGTAACTTTCAAGATTTGTTTGCTTAACGCCAGATAATTTTATTCAGCTCCGAGGGAAAACGTTATACAAGGGATTAATGAATATGGTTGCATACCAATTGCTTAATTTGTGTCAGCCGTCCAAGCCAAGGGTTAAACTTTGGTTGGGACTTGGAACCCATACACTTGGTGGCTAAAACAAGCGAGTCTCCTTAGAAATATGTAAAGTGTAGAAAATAACAATTAATTCAGACATCAAATTTTCACAAACTCACCCCTAGATCAATATCATTATTTCCTGACACTTCTTTGATCTTCATAATCTTAGCTTCAATCTCCTTATACTTCAATGCTTTTAATTTCTCTATCTCCTTCCTCTTCAATTCTTTTTCCTCTTTTTTACGTTGTTTCTGAGCCTCGCGTGTCAATTTTCGTCGTTCATCTTTTGCTCGCACCGAATCAGGAATACTTCTGGGATATCTCTTGATGAATTCCTCATCTGGTTCTTCAAATCTGAAGAAAAATCAGTAACATCACACCCTGTTCTGTCACACAGTGAGGTTTTGTTAGAATGGGGAATGCTGGACAAGAATTTATTATACAGTACAGTACTACATTTTATCAACAAGCAAAGTGTTTACGGTAGCTGTTTTGCTCTTTCAAGCATAAAAAATAAAATAGAAACTGACCAATCACTAGTTGTTCCCTACCAAGTCAAATCAACATTACAAGAATAGTGCATATCATCAATATCAACTATAGAGCACTTTAAAAGGTTCAAATAAAAAATCTGACATAACAGTATATTTTTTTTTTTTGTAAGATGAAGCCCCTCAGTAAATCCACTGATACCAGTAGAGGAATCTTCCCCTCGGACAGTACATTACAGTATGTCATTTTTTGTAAAGTTCAAGATTTGACTCAAATAACGAGTAAGGATTCCCTAATCTGCCCCCCATATGCACAAAAACTGAAACTCAAGGAACCTGAAACATCAAGTGATTTTGGCCATTGTTAAAGGGTTAAGAAGTGATTGCGAGTGCCCCTGATAGGAAAGTATGGCCAAGACTCAGCTGCTGTATTGCATTCCAGCCCACGGCAATAAACTCACCTGAAACGATACTTGTTTTCAAAAGTCTCCATTTTCTCCAGTGTCCTTTCATCCTCTGATAAAGTTTCTTCATCAATGACAACCTCATTATATGCTCGTTCAATGGTTTCATCTTCATCTTCAAGATATCTGAAAATAAGAAAAATGGGAAAATATAATTTCTATTGGTTTCCTAATTAAAAGCAACAAAGCAATACTAACCTCCTTGCTTAGCTATACTATAAAATCATGACTATCCAGGAATCAGTTATCCAAGTAAAAAAAAAAAAATACCGGTAGTACAAATTTAAACAAAATATAAATTCTGTACTTGCACATAGCAGATGATATACTGTCACCTACACTCTTGATGTAATTGTAAACAGTCATTAGATTTGGTTAGGTTCATTCTATTTTGTCAGTCATAATACAGGTATATGAATGATGTTTGCCTTATTTACAGGACTACAGTACAGGGGGCCCCCGAAGTTCACAGATTTTTATTTCGTGGTCCTTTATTATTCACGGATGACACCCTGGATGTACCCAAGAATGTCTGTGGGTAGTTTTAAAGTTGCCGGCATTTTTGCAGCTGGGACAGGAGCCATTTGTTCCAGAGACAGTAATTTCCTTTACCTGTAATGTAAATATGTGTGTTTGTGTAGACACACTCACACAAAATGCATACAAATAAATAATTATTGAAAAATCCTCTCACAAATAATCAGAAACAAATTAATTAAAAATGTGACAATCTACCCTCAAGTCCGTGCTCTCTTAATAAAGTAATAAAGCACGAACTTGAGGGTAGATTGTCACATTTTTAATTAATTTGTTTCTGATTATTTGTGAGAGTATTTTACCATTATTGTTTATTTATATGTGTTTTGTGTGTGTGTGTCTACACACACACACACACACACACACACACAAAATGCATACAGTATTTAAAATACAGGTAAAAGAAATAATTGTCCTAAGGGCAAACACATCAAGGAAATATACATTTCTTTGTACACTTACCTTTTATTAAGAAAATAATCGGCCAACCATTTGTTTTCGCTCGACAAGTTTGGGTCATTCCACGCACTCTTAAGACCCTCAAGTAAGCCTTTATCTTTTTCATTACTTATTGTAGAACTCTCTCCCTTCACATAGGCCACCACATCATCTGCTACCTGTAAGAAAAGAGCAATGCCAAAAAAGATAAGCATTATCAGTCCTTCTCATATAAACTTAGAGCTCTACCATCTGCTCACTGAAAAAATAAATCAGCTTTCTGGAGACAAAAACAATATAAATACACAATTATTTTCCCATTAGTAACCTAATTACACAGTGGTAAGTTACAAGGGGAACCATTACCCAAACTTTAAGCTTGGCATAAAAAATCAGAAATCCAGTATGGCTGCTACAGTAGCCACCCTGGGTATAATAAGTAAATGAAAATTGCAAGGCTCTTTAAACACAATTAACCACAGAGTTACAAAATGTACAAAGGGACTTCCGAGAAACTGGTGTGGACAAACACAGACACATAGAAGGCTATGATTATACCTCTTGTTTATAAGCCATCTGAACTAAAACTTTAAGGCCATACCTCTGAGGGTTCTTCTTTTTTCTTTTTAGGGGATTTTTCTTTGACCTTGAACAATCCTGAAGTCAAGAGTCCATCATCGTCGTCATCATCATCATTACCTTTATCATCCTCGTCATCATTAAAACCAGTGATATTTTTGCCCCGAAGTGGACTGTCCCCAACATCTTTCTCTGCTGTAGGATCTAAAAAAATTTAAATGCAGGTTAAAGAATAAAACCATAATGTGGTACACTTGAAAAGAATTGTATGGTAATCTGTTAATTACCCTGTAAAATTACTGATATTCCCTTACTATTTCTGAAGAAGGTTACCATTAGACTTGTGCAAAAATAATGTACCGGTATATACTGTAGTGTACTGCACCATTATTGAACTTGATCTGACTTTTCATATTACCCTGTAGCAATATTTCTATTAAATCTGAAAATAAGTAGTCACAGGAAACTAAAGCTGAAATAATCAACAGAGAAAAGATATTATCACACCACCATAAGACAGCTACACTAGAGCTAAAAATGTTTATAGTACATTAAAATGAGTGAAAAAAGCCGGAGTTACCACATGCAAAACTAATTCGAACAAACATTAGAAAAAGGACACAGCACTTTTCAATATACTCTACAAACTTACCATCATCTTCATCTAAATTTCCCTCATGGTCCACAGCAATGTAGCGCTGGTAGTCATGGATGGTCATAGCCTTCTCCTCTTTGTCTTTCTTCTTCTTTCTGTAATCACCAGAAAAAAACTTTCTCTCTTCCAAATTTACTCCATTCTTCTTGTACAAGGCACCCAGGGAGATGAAGAAGTCACGGTCAAAGTCGGGGTTGTCAGGCTGAAACAACACCTCATAAGACATGGAAAATGGACATAAAACTGCAATGATAAGGATGATGAAACGATGACAATTTATTTTAAAAGCGTAAAATTTCAACTTGTATATAAATATTATACTTTAACAGACAGTACAGTATAGGTATTGGTCAGTATATCGCCTGATGGAACTGTCAGATGGCCACTAAGAGAATACGAGGCTCTAGTTGTCAGATTCTCATACGTACTGTACATAAAACTTTTTAGCAGGGCATAAAAATAAGACAGTTTAAAGACAGATATACAATACAATACAGTACAATAAAATGGATTATATCATAAGCTTGAGAAATTAAAATATAAAATAATAAATCCTTTGATAAGTTGGTCTACCTACCTCAACAAAATCATCATCTGACGAAGATTCTGAATCTGATGTCAGGGAGCCATCATTACCATATTGGTTTTTTACTGAAATAAAAAAAAAACGTAAATATAAACATCAATATTACTATCAATAATTCTCTAAAAGACAACAAAAGTGACCTTCCCACAAATTTTGGAGAGGTGACATAGCTAATTATATTCTTATGTTACTGTACAGGTAAAATTTCTAATAGTCCTGTACAGTATTTGTCTGAAAATAACAAAATATTGTACCATCAAAACTGTCAAGAAGTAAAACTCACACTTCTCCAGTTCCTCTCCTCTACGCCATTCTTCATACTTGGTAGCGTAGGCTTTATTAATCTGCAAGCCATCTTCCTCTCCACCAGAATCCTCATCAAATAGGATCTTTTTCTGAGACATCCTTCCAATATGCACTTGAATGAGAAATTTAAAGATATATTACTCAAGTACAGTACATACACACAACACTGAAACTGTAATTTTTTACTTTTGGACAACATAGGAACCTTAGTAATTTTATTTTTACAATCAATAGTTTCGACAATAGTAACTCCATAAATTTTGTTTCATTTCTATAAATTTCTTTCTACTGCTAACCGTGTTCTCCACCTTTATTATTTGTACAATAGTTTAGCTCCATTAATTATGACTATCCAGTGACGTCTTCCCCTCAGGACTTGGTTTGGATCTCTTGAAGAATCTCTACCCCCAGCTTATTTCACCTTCAAGATAAACCACCCTAATGTTAACCTAAAGTAACTTAATTCATTGGTGTTAGAACAGAGTAGAGGAACCCAAAGTATATACTGTACCTCAAGAACACATTCACTTTAAAGTTCTCCACTTTACGAAATTCTTCAAACTATAGAATTAAGATGAGTAAATTTAAGTTTTCATCATCATCTGCGACCAGCGTAAAGTTCTTAAGTTCCAAATAATTAAGAGATATTGTCCAAATTAATTAGACTCAGGATATAGCCATTATTCTCAGGTCTGTGATGAACCAAAGAGTCTCGTGTTGTTGTCAATTTCTCCTTGACGGAAAATAAGTCAAGAGCCAATTTCTTATATATCTGCTAAATAATATTAAATTTTCAGTTTAATTAAATATTAAAATTATTATTAATATTATAAAGTAGTATTTTATCCAATAATTGTGTGGAATGGTAAAATTTTTCTGTATGTAGTAGAGATTTCATGGTGTTGAGTTTTTATTACTAATACCGGATCATATAATAGCGATTATAGAGTTGTTTAATCTAAAATAATGAAATCACAAATGAATACAAATTTTAATATAACAGTAATTGATGCTTTTTAGTTATTTAAAGTGAATTAATACATGAAAAATACCAAGAGGTCTACAAGAATGTTTGTTATTTTTTGAGAGCGCCACTACCACCACAACTTGTTCGATTTCGGTCGTTTTTCCATAATTATGTTCTTAGCTTTATAGTACAGTAAGTATTTTAAGAGGCAACAACTTTTGGTAATAATTGGTATTAGTGACATTTGTGTTTTTTACATGAAAACCTATTTTTCTGGTGTATCTCGGTGTGTTTTCTTAAATATAACCTTTATTTCCTTTGGAAAAAAATATTTTGAGTTTTTTATTATTATTTCAAGAGTCATTAAGTAATATTAATTACTCAAAATTTTTAATAATGAACCCAAATCCTTCATCAGAATGTAAAAGTACCTTTGTATGAAATTTGACCAATATCTACGTCCTGACCTCATGTGCCGTAAGTTTTAAATCACCTTCATATACGTTTTATTAAAAATATAGACTATCTTTACTGGCTCTCTGTTACGAACTGTTGGCACTGTGGGCATGTACTGGCTCTCTGTTATGCACTGTTAAGACAACTAAGGATTTAATCTATGACGCCTAGACATAGGTATGAAACAGTGCAGTAGAAAAGGTGAGGTACTTCCCCGCCTGGCGTATTGTCGGGGTGACAAATGTCAATAGTACTGTCACCCCACCTGGAGTACTTCAATATCAATACTATCGCTCTACTATCTATTACTAAGTGGTAACCACCCAGTAAGGTACGGTAATTACCATTATTGTAGTCGGAGAAATATTTCGTCTATATTTTCCCACGTAAGGTTTTCTTAGTTAGAGTTTTAATTAATTTCAAAGGTAATATATTATTCTTAGATAAAAGCAACTGTGTTAGTAATATTAAAGTATATTTTATAATATAATTGAGTAAGTCAGTAATGTTGGCAGCCCTGATTCGTCAACACGTGGCTTATTCCGAAGCTGAAGAATTTAGAGTATTGTACGGTATTGTTATTTCTATTTATTTTTCCGTGAAGTTTTCCTTATTGTTTCTTTTATACACCACGATAAAACTTAATTTACCCCAAAATTGGTATTAAAACTTGTATGTACGATGAAGGTAGGATTTATTTTTTTTTTTTCCTCATTCTGGTCCAGAGGCGATTTAACAAGTATCCCGCTGGAGCTTCATTGCCCGTAGAGACACCGAAGGAGGAGGAAGTGCTGCTGGTTGTCTTTTTCGCTTGACAGACGCCGTTTTTAAATTGTATAGTAAGTTTTATTTTTAATTTAACTTATTAAATTTATACTTGTGTAAAGTTAAGATATATCAAGTTTATTTATTTGTCGGTTTTGTACCGATTTATTTTAATGAGAATTTAAATGGAATTTTTAATAGGATATTGATGATACAGAAGACCGATAATTTCTTATCATTATGAACAGGCATAGGTCGTTAATACTGATAATCATATAGACTAGTTACTTTAGAGAATACTGTACTATTTTGTCTGGTGCTTTTATGTAAATTAATGAAATATGGTTTTGGTATCGGTCACAGTATTTGAGACTTTGTGAATATCTAATTAACGTATCGCATACTTTGTGTAGGTTTTGGTCATATATGTTACAGGCTTTAACTGGGGGTATTAAAAATGTTACTCGTAAGATTTTTTGGTTAATATTAGTCCATTGGCTGCCCGCAGGTTTCCGTCATATTTACTTGTTATACTCCTCACTTGTTTCCTTGCCTCCTCCTTGTAGGTTAGGTAGGTTGATTGGTTCTTTTAGTATGAAAATAGGTTTTTGGTTTATTTTTTGTTTTACTCAAATTTAACCTTCATTTTTGTGCAATTGATTTTTTTTAAAAATGATGCTTTTTTTTTTTTTTTGCAAAAAACGCTAATTTTCAAAAGGTATTCAGATTTGAGTGAACCACTGGGAAAAATATTTGTACCAAACCTGAGGACAGCCAATGGGCGAATATTAAGCTTATTCTTTTCTTTTCTTGACAGATGATGGATCCAGTTGGTTGTTACGGTTGTCAAAGGCCAGTTTACTGCATCAGTGGTCGTCAGCGTGGATAGTACAGCACCTCCTTATTTATTGAGGTAAGAAAGTTTGTTCTATAGTGAAATGTCAAGTCTGCTTCAATAACTTTGCAACTAGGATCTACGGACGATTGATCGCATCTGGACACTGGCAAGTACAAGTATGTACTGGCGGCACATACTGGCTCTGTTGCTGTTGGCAAGTACTGTACTGTCTCTGTTGCTGTTGGCAAGTACTGTACTGGCTGTTACTGTTGGCAAGTACTGTACTGGCTGTTACTGTTGGCAAGTACTGTACTGGCTGTTACTGTTGGCAAGTACTGTACTGGCTGTTACTGTTGGCAAGTACTGTACTGGCTGTTACTGTTGGCAAGTACTGTACTGGCTGTTACTGTTGGCAAGTACTGTACCGGTTGCCATTGCTGGCGTACTGCACTGGCTGTTACTGCTGGCAAGCACCGTACTGGCTCTGTTACTGCTGGCAAGTACCGTACTGGCTGTTACTGTTGGCAAGTACTGGTACTGGTTATATTGTTATAAAGTACTGTACTGGCTGTTACTGTTGGCAAGTACTGTACTGGTTGTTACTGTTGGCAAGTACTGTACTGGCTGTTACTGTTGGCAAGTACTGTACTGGTTAGCCATTGCTGCGCACTGTACTGGCTGTTACTGTTGGCAAGTACTGCAATTGGTTGTTATTGCTTGCGGGGCACTGCACTGGCTCTGTTACTGTTGGCAAGTACTGTACTGGTTGTTACTGGTTGGCAAGTACTGTACTGGCTGTTACTGTTGGCAAGTACTGCATTGGTTGTTATTGCTAAGTACTGTATTGGCTGTTACTGTTGGCAAGCAATTGCACTGGCTCTGTTATTGCTGGCAAGTACTGTACTGGCTGTTACTGTTGGCAAGTACTGTACTGGTTGTTATTGCTGGCAAGCACTTAATTGGCTGTTACTGTTGGCAAGTACTGTACTGACAGCATTACAAGGGCAATTGTACTGGCTGTTACTGCTACAAGTACTGTACTGGTTGTTATTGTTATAAGTACTGTACTTATTACTACAAGGCATTGTACTGGTTGTTATTGTTGGCAGTACTGGTACTGGTTGTTACTGTTGGCAAGTACTGTAATTGGTTGTTATTGTTAAGGCAATTGCACTGGCTATTACTGCTGGCAAGTACTGTACTGGTTGTTATTGCTTGGCAAGTACTGTACTGGCTGTTACTGTTGGCAAGCAATTGCACTGGCTTCAGTTACTGTTGGCAAGCAATTGCAATTGGCTCTAGCTACTGCTGGCAAGTACTGCACTGGTTGTTATTGCTACAGCAAGTACTGTACTGGCTGTTACCAAGGCAAGTACTGTAATTGGCTGTTACTGTTATAAGTACTGTAATGGCTGTTACTGTTGGCAAGTACTGCACTGGTTGTTATTGTTGGCAAGCACTGTACTGGCTGTTACTGCTGGCAAGTACTGTACTCACATTGCTGGCAAGCACTGCACTGGCTGTTACTGTTAAGTAAGTACTGTACTGGTTGTTATTGTTGGCAAGTACTGTATCATGCTGTTACTGCTGGCAAGTACTGTACTGCTGTTACTGTTGGCAAGTACTTCTCAGGCTGGTTGTTATTGCTGGCAAGTACTGTACTGCCTCTGTTACTGTTAAGGCAATTGTACTGGTTGTTATTGCTAAGTAAGTACTGTACTGGCTGTTACTGTTGGCAAGTACTGTACTGGCTGTTACTGTTGGCAAGTACTGTACTGGCTGTTACTGTTGGCAAGTACTGTACTGGCTGTTACTGTTGGCAAGTACTGTACTGGCTGTTACTGCTGGCAAGTACTGGCTCTGTTAGTGCTGGCAAGTAATGGGCATGTAATGGCTCTGCTGCAGTGTTAGCATGTACTGACTGTTACTGTTGGCAGGTACTGGCTGTTACTAGACAAATTTGTCCGATTACATGTTTATAAACTTGTATTAAGTCCCACCTTGCCTACCTATAAGCTGGACAATGGCATAAACCAATTGATTTCCTTTACACAATATGTAGATCACTCGCCGACTTGTACAGTACAGTACTGCAATTACTCGTACATCACCCGTTTCGATAAACGTAAAAAAAAAACTTGCAAATGCCATTTTTCATTCATTGGGGGACGTTTTGCTTGTTTATGCATCTATACAAGATTTACAGAGCTATGGAAGCTTTTTGCACAACTCTTAACACCGGAAGCTCCCCATCAGGGCTCCATGTACCTTTAGTTTTGATAATTCGTTTAATACTTGACTGAACATGTCGGTGTTGTCATTCTTAAACATGTGGGTCGTGGAGGTTTGCATACTCATGTGAACACCTCTTGTCTTGCCCTGATCAGAGTCTGCGTAATTACGATCTGATATGCCCACACGTAGAAAGCTTTTGAGGCTTTGACTTTACCACATTTGGAATCGGACTGGCAATCTTACTCGGTCTTTATACAGTCTGAATGGTCTGTATTCCTAGAGTCAGTGGGTTTGATCTGAGTGTACAGTATATTTTATCAATCGAATAGTTTGTTTAACTGGCTATATTTAGCATAGTGTCTGCATTCTTATTTTTCAAGTATAAGTTCATTCTTCCAGTCACCAATAATGCTGTTGTGCATAAATGCCTGTAAACTGGCTTGGCTAAAACTAGTTCTGTGATCTATAAATACATCCAAGGATCAAGTCTCGTACCTTTCCTTAAATTTTATGCCATTTATATTCAAAATCCTTCTGCAAGTGCCTTCACCTGTCTGGCTCTAAGGTCCTGTCTAGCATAAGTACATCAACTGGATCCCTCTTAAGTTACAGAAATAACTGATGTCCACCTTGGCATTATTGATTTGCCTGCATCTATAGTTCTTAATTTGTCCAATACTTGTTTCCAGTTCAGTTAATACAGGTAACTATACTCTTTCCAACTGTTCACAATTGGTAAGCAGACCTGGTCTAAAATGTTAAATATCTGGACAATTGAAATGCTCGGGGGGAACCAGTCGGCTGTTATAGAAGGGCGTGACTTATAGGCCAGGTTAGTGTGGAAATACGAAACACTTTTATTCTATAAAACTTTATACCTAGTGAAGAATGTGGATTACCTCTGTTATGAAAGTTTGAATTTAAAGTTTTTTAATCTTTTATTAAACTTACGTTGTAAAGAATTGCAAATTGATGTTCGGGGTTGACGGCTTGTTGACGATTGTAGACGGTCATTGGATAAGTAACTCGTAAATGTTAGTTTATTAAAATTGTAACTCCTAGTTTTGATTGGGTTACTTTTGTTTTTTAATGTTGCAGCTTTCTTACTCGAAATTGGTGGAGAAAGTGTTGAATATTACTATGCCTTACTATTACCAACAGCTCTTTAATGTAATAAACATTTTTTCACTAAAAGATACCTTGCATAATGTTCATCAGTACAGTAATCTAATACTGTACAGTACAGTTCTATAAAACATTGTAGGGGTAGTTAACCAGTATATTCAGGGGGATGACTACATAATACTGTACACTGTATCGAAACTTTTTTGTCAAAATCAGTGATATCAATACTGTATTACTTCAAGAACTATGGTAAAAATGGGGTTGTGTAACTTTGCGTTTTTCTACACTCTATATTTGGTGCTTAAGTTGTGCTGTGTAACGCTTCATGTATTCAGTAAACTAGTTCACAGGTGTCCCTTAATATACTAAAATATTGTTCCTGGAAATGCTTTCATTAAGTTTAAGTAATTTATATATTACAGTATTATTGGGGTTATGTTCCTGTGAGGGGTAATCTTTATATTAATAATAACGGCATCAAATTTGGTTTTATTGTTCGTTTGCTTCTATGTAGTGTTGAAACTTAACAGGCATATGTACTGTACTGTATATTGGGGGGATACCCGTATTGATGTAGCATGTACTGTATACTGGGGTAATGTGCTGTAGGTATACAGTACTATTGAATATTTTATTAGTACAGTTGTAATATTTCATCATTCTAGGATGATGACAACTTGAAGATGGAGGACGGAAGAAATGATAACCAAGAGTTCTTCTGGTGACCTGACGCTTGCTGCTCCAGAAACAGTCAGGTTGGGTACAGTACAGGGCATCTCTCATTGTGGTTTCTTCACTAAATTCTTGACAAAGTACAGTAATTGTTATCCAAGGACTGCCTTGTCTAGTTAACTATTTTAAGTGTAAATATCAATGTATTTGTACTATACAATACATGGGATACACCAATTAATTGATAATGGCTACAGATATCAATATTTTGCTGAATAATCAGTATCTGTAAACAAAGTATTGGCTGATGCCATTTTGCTGTCTGTTTTGGGTTAAGAAATTAAAAAAAATAAATAAAAATTACCGGAAAAATACAGTAATTACAGAAACCAGTTAGTTTGTTCACTTCTGGAAATGTCGCACTCGGCTACCGATCATTGTCTTAAGGTTTTGTTATTAGATAACTGGCAGTGTTCTCTGTGCAGGTCCTTCTACAGCACTTCATTATACTGTAATAAATATATTATCAAGCCAGACAAAGTAGCTTTTGTTTAATCTGAAGAGAAAAATAATCTGGTAAGGAGTCGCTGACGAGAAAGATTGTTTTATATAATGTAGCATCTTCAAAGTACATTAGATATTCTATTTACCAATATTACCCAAATTAGAACTAAGAACGACCTGCTACAGTATTATAACTTAAGATGAATGACATAAGTTGTTGAAGCTGGATAGTTTTTATAACAAATTTAGTCAAAATGATAAATAACATAATTTACAGTAAATCCTATTTTATTAAAGAATGGGTAAATAATGAATAAATGTTCCAAAATAAGTCTTAAATATTAGAATAAAGTCGCTGTTGATTACAAATGCGTGTCTTTTCCACCACCGTCTCTGTATAAGTAAACATTAAGCTGAGGAAGAAAACTCTAGAATAATACAACAAAAATGGCCGTCATGAGGAGACTTTAATATAAATTTAGTAACGCCGCTGGTTAAAATTTTCTGGTCTTGGTCTGGTTTATCTGTTGTCTCAACCCTACTCTTAAGCTGACGCTCCTCTGACCCGACCCTTATTGCTTTCATTTTCATATCCTTAGTAAGGACTCTCCCGGGCACCTTACCTGGTGCAAGTTTATTGTAACAAGTTAAGGTGTTGGTTAGATTATAATGTTGAGTTATAGCATTAGTCTGTACTTATACTGTACAGTATATATTTAATATACATGGTATTCTTCCTGGATGGTTACAGCTTTGAACAGCCTTGATATTATTTACCTATAAATAGTTGACTACTTGATTAGTTAATAATTACTGGGTGTTGTGCCGGGTATACTTAAACGCTGCAATAATTTAAAACGCAGCTGCTCTTAATAATGCAGCTTCAAAAATTCCTTAAGACTATTACTAAAGTTGATGTATTTGTGGACGGGTTCTCTACCGCCAGAGCAAATTGTTTTATTTAAATACTGTATTTGGCCGATACTTTGTTTATAATCTGGCTTTGGTGGCGAGATTATATAGTGACTTGACTGTTTTACCTGCATGATAAAATTGACCTAAATTATAGCATTCTCTAAATCTGGTGGCAGATTATCGTGAGAGTTTTGAATCTGGTTATTAACTGTGCATCACTAATGTATTGTTCTTCAATTACTGTACTAGATTAAGTGGATTAATGTGGTACTTCCATAGAGGATAAAACCTTCAGTTTAGGGTCATGTTATACAATACTGTATTAGGATAAATTAGTAGTGTGAAAATATTTTACTTGAAACCTTTTACAGGTAATAACTTGTGACTTTACTTCCAGTAGGTTCAGGACCTTGTCAAGGAGAGGTGTGCACTCTGCTGTACCACACATCTTGCCTCGCTTGTACTGCTGTACCACACATCTTGCCTCACTTGTACTGCTTTGCCACACACCTTGCCTCCAATATCAGGATGGCAAGTGATTCACAACACTACTAAAGGAAGCAGGTGCCAAGATACAGCCCGGACCCAGCCTTCCACCCCTCCTCTCTACCTCAGGTAAAGAATATAACAAGTTCAGTTGAAGTAAAAATATACAAAAAAAAAAAAATACAGTACATAAAAAATAGCCTCAGAATGCTCACTTACAAGGGAGTAAAGTGTACTTTATCTGCCTGTGTCAAAATGAACTTTTCCAACACTTGGATTGGAATTTCTCTGCCAGTTTATCCTTAAAACCAAAGACAAACAAATTGCTCTGGGATATTCAATGACCATACTAGATTTCTTGGTGCTATAAATTTCAAGACAAAATAGAAAGTAAAGGAGAAATTATATTTAAATTTGAGAAAATGTTTTAAGGGTTGAGAATATTGAAGGGATTATGGGACTAGAATTGATGTACAGTCATAGTCAAAAGTGTTGAACACTTGACAGTATTTGGCTTTAAGTAGTTTAATCCTATTTTGTGGTTCAGGCATATGATTAGTGTTATTAGTATATCCCAATCATATAACTCACAAGTAGACGACAGATATTAAGTGTTCAACACTTTTGACCCCGACTGTACCTATGACCTTTGATTGTACAGGAATATCTTAACATGTTCATGTTAATATCCCCAAATTTGTTCTCAGAATTATATTCTTAAAACTCTCAACCAATCTTTTAATATTTCAAATTTATAACAAATAATTCTTGGTCTTCATGTAGGCTTTGATCATAATGAACATTACCACAGATGTGTTCTTTTTACTAATATTTATAAATTTACTATTTTTATGGTAAAAATTTTGAATATTAATTTTACATTTTATTTTGTACAGATATGTTCTGAACACTGGAGTGCCATGCTGCCTTGACTGTGCTTACTGGCCACTGCCCTGTACTTGCTTGCTGGCTGCTCTGTATGGCTCTGCTCTGTGCATGCTGCCCTGGATGGCTCTGCTCTGTGCATGCTGCCCTGGATGGCTCTGCTCTGTGCATGCTGCCCTGGATGGCTCTGCTCTGCATGGCTCTGCTCTGTGCTTGCTGCCCTGGATGGCTCTGCTGCCCTGGACTGCAAATTTATAGCCATTAAGTTTCCATTAATAAATGTCTAATTGTCATTACATCTTTATTAACCTTTTCCAGCATTTACAATATTTTCAACTTTACAGACAATTGATTAAGTTCAGCTTCAGATATTGAAGCAAAATAATTTGATTAAATAATATCTAATTATATACAAATAAAAATATAAATATAAATGAAAAAATATATATATATATAAATAATACATACATAAAGAAATAATATAAATATACTATATATAAATAATAAATAAATAAAATATATATATATATAATATATATAAATAAATAAAATATATATAAATAATATATATAAATAAATAAAATATATATATATAAATAATTATAAATAAATAAAATATATATATAATTAAATATATAAACATTATATATAAAAAACAAAATATATAAATAAAAATATATAATAAGCAAAGTACAAAACTGAAAAATAGCATTTTTATGAGAAAAATGGCTAAAAATACAAAATTTGAGCAAAAAAGGCCAAAAATTGCCCTTTTTTACCCTTAGAGTTTTTTGAGTTTGCCATTGCCAGGACTAACGTTGAAAAATTTGGTAACAGTAATCGGAAGAGTCTCCGGAGCACACCTCTAATTATCATTCACCAATAATAAAAAATACAAGCATAACGGACTACCTGGAAGTGGAGAGTAACTCCCCACATCCAGAGTAGTCATCTCTACTATCACAGGTACCAACCGCAAGGAGAGCTCTTGAAAGGCACAAATGTTTAAAAACCACACAAAATTTATTATTACTCAAAATTTGCCCAGGAATAATTTTGGCCATTTAGGACAAGATATTTTAGCATTTTGGACTTAGAATATTTTAAGCTGATGAATTTTTGGACTTAGAATAATTTTTACTTGGAATATATTTTAAACGATGAATTTTTGGACTTAGAATGAATTTTTTAGATTTTAAACGATGAATTTTTGGACAGATATTTTAAGCGATGAATTTTGGACTTAGAATAATTTTTTACTTGGAATATTTTAAACGATGAATTTTTGGACTTAGAATATTTTAAAACGATAAATTTTTGGACTTAGAATAGAATATTTTAAGCGATGAATTTTGGACTATAAATATATTTGTAATCTAGACCTTAACATGATCAATTCTGTCAAATCAGTTGCTACTATAATATATGCAGTCTACTGGGATATTTACACTGTACCCTCATTAAATAGGATCGCTGTAATTGATTTAAGCTAATTAGTACATTTTCTAAAAAATTAATTAAATGATTTGAATTTGAAATGCATATAAAATAACCGAGTGGTTCAAAAGTTGCCTTGGCTGTCATATACAATATTATATTTAATTATTGTGCAAATATAAATAGTTTTAAAATGTACATAATAATAAGTAAATAATACAGTAATAAATGGTCGTGGATGATATTCCAAAAGTGCTAATGGCCACACTGGTAAATAAGTAAAAACCCTCATTGGAGAAATAAAGATGAAATTTTGGAGCAGTTGACTATAGTGCATTTTTTATCAGCTGAGAAGAGATGTCCGCCCCCCTCCTCAAAGGTTACTTTTCGTTTGACTTGTTTTCAAATCTGTCCGATTTCGTCCTGGAAACAATAATTGTATTTCTAAAGGGGTTCATAATGACAGTTTCTGGCCAGGAAAGATATTTAGCTAAATTATATAAATATACATACATTAATTATTTCAAACTTAAACCATTGAAATTTACTCAGAAATATTATAAAAATTAACTGTTAAACTCTGGTGGCAAATTGGCGCTTTCGGAGACGCATTTAATATATACTTATTTTTACCCACAATAGGCACAAATTCACATTATCTCTTCTCAGCTGGGGAAAGAAACACACCACCAATACCGGGCAGGTCCCTCTTCTGCCAACTAACACAACCAAACAGGGAGAAACACATGAGCAAGGAATCGATCTCCTGATTTGAGTAGGTTGGGGATTAATCTTCTTGATGACAGCAGTGGACCCCAGGCTGATCTCAATACTATCATCAACATATTATCAGTTCACCTCTACAATGTGCAGTAAGTCTTACATTTATTTATTACCATATTAACTTCATTATTACTGTTTGTACACTTAAAAAATATTTGTTTGCACAGTAATTATAAATAAGTATTTTATGTGGCAGTCAAGGCTTGTGTATGTTTGGTTGGAATAATGAGGAACACTTGAATAAATTGAACAGAAACAAATAAATAATTGAACACAAAATGAGGGAATTGTCAAATAATGTAAAAATATTCAGACTGCGGTTAGTTTGTATTTTAATTTGGTGGACCACAAACTACTCTGCCCTCATTGAATCAGCAAAAGAGACTCTGGGTCACCCGAGATTACTGAAAGTCTGAATTAACCGAGTTCCGAATATTTTGATATTGTTGACAATTTCTTAATTTTGTGTTCAATTATTCATTCGTTTTTCTCATTCAGTTTCTGATCATATTGTTCAACAGCAAACTTCCTCAGTTACTATAGCAGCACCAGCATTTCTTTACAACCTGTCACTCATGTTATTCTTTGCCTAACTCCTGTATCTCTTGGCTTCGAATTCAGTTTTATCCTTTTCTCTCTAAGACCATCTCAGTTTAGCCTCCAGGTACTGTACTTCTCTCTGTTTCCAACCATCTTCCACGTCTCACACAATCTTGCCTCTTTATCTCTCTCTCTCACTTCATCATTCCCGCCATCAACCACACTCCAACGGAACATCTTTCATTATGGCCCCGGCGTCTTGGTACACTGCCCCTCACTGGCTGTTTCCTAGTCTCTCAACTCACAAGAAAATGCTTCCTTTACATTCAGTTCCTTCACAATTCCCACACTCTCCTTCTTAGAAACATCCACCTTCTTCCTCCTCATTTTAAGTAACACACACACACACACACACACAAGCAACCTGTTCTAATTTCCTGACCAAAATGTAGCCAATCTGGGTTTCATTGCCACCTGCCTCAGGCCTACATGGTCAGCCTACTTCCCTGTTATTCTTAAACACTTATTTACATACAATACCCCAAACTCAAGTGTTCACCTTCCAGTATTCTTTATTCCCAAAGCCTTTCCCACCATGCACACCTTACCGTAACCCAAGCCCAACGGCAAATTTGGACAATAAAATAGTTTGTTTTAATGGAGATCACTACACAATAAACTGTATCTCCTAAAACAACATTAACTGCCATGACTATAACAGAATAATTGCGCTTAAGTCACTCGACAGATTTCTGACAACATTAAATGGCCTTGAACTAATGAGATAGAATTCATAACGAAAAAATAAAAATGTAATTTATGGTTTAGTTTAACCCTAAAATGGTAAATATATGAAATGCCTGGGCCGGTTCAACAGTCACTAAATCATATTAATTCTAAAGTCCTTAAAAACAAATTTGTTCTTTAATTTCATATCATATTGTATTGGCATTCTAAGTCCAGGTAAAATTTAAAACATAAATTTAAGCCAAATTATACCTGGATAAACAGTGAGAAATAAAGGTGTTTAGTTTATAATTAAAATAAGACAAATTGTCAATCTTCAGAGCCACAGCTAAACACCTCAGTTTAATATTGACCTCCACCTCACACTGGCTCACACTACAACAGAGTAACACCTGTGATGAAACAACATTATCAGGAAAAGATCAAAATATTTACATACACCAGATCACTTTAGATAGATAGATATATAATTATTATGTAAACTTATCATAAGTTTACAATTAGTTCAACCAGCATATAGACAATGTAGGTAGGTGTACAGTTCAGCATGTATATAGCCAATACAGGTATACAGCTCACCATGTATATAGATAATACTGTATAGGTGATTATGAAGTTCAGTGTATTAATGACTAGCCTTTGTCACATTAATATTATATAAATATATAGGCTAAGGTCATATATTCATATATATACATTCTGTCACCAGACTATTGAGCATGTAACTACATAAGGATTTGTTCTATCCCTCACCTCTAGAGATTGTACAGCCCTGCCAAAACATTTGTTCTGTCACACCTCCTAGGGTGTACAGCCCATAAACATTGTTCTGTCACACCTCTAAGTGTACAGCCCATAAACTTATTGATCTAACACACTCTAGGGTTGTACAGCCCCATAAACATTTGATCTGTCACCTAGGGTGTGCAGCCCTCTTTGTTTGTTCTGTCACACACCTCCTAGGTGTGCAGCCCTCAAACATTTGATCTGTCACACCTCCTAGGGTGTACAGCCCATAAGCTGTTTCTTCTGTCACCTCTAGGGTGTGCAGCCCATAAACATTTGTTCTGTCACACCTCCTAGGGTATACAGCCCATAAACATTTGATCTGTCACACCTCCTAGGGTGTACAGCCCATAAACATTTAATTTCTGTCACCTCCTAGGGTGTACAGCCCATAAACTTATTGATCTGTCACACCTCCTGGGGAGTGTACAGCCCTCGCTGTTATTCTGTCACACCTCCTAGGGTGTACAGCCCATAAACATTTGTCTGTCACCTCCTGGGGTGTACAGCCCGATAAACCTACAGACTCAGCCCTCCGAGGTGTGTGGTAGGCTGTTTGGTTAATGACCTGTTGAAGTGAAGTAGTTTGCCACTCAACCACCAGACTCAAGAGGTCCAGCCAGTTCACAGCCTGACACGTGCCTAAAGTGAGACCAGCTCTCCGGGCTGTACACACTCTCTCTAAATATATGAGCTAATGCTCATTAGTCTATCAATACAAATTGTACAGACATTACTACCCAATTTAACTACTACTAATATAACTATTAAATCAGCACGTGTATTTACATTAAACCAAGGAACAACGTGTGAAGGGAGCATTACCTGCATGTCTTGGCAACACAATACAAGATAATTACAAGTACAACTCAGGACAGCTGTGACGATTTAAACTATCTGACTGTATCAAAGGTGACATGATGAGGCCATATATGCTCAGCTGCATCAAAGGTGACATGACCATATATCTCACTCGAAAGCTGCATCAAAGGTGACATGACCATATATCTCACACTCCAGCTGCATCAAAGGTGACATGACCATATATCTCACTCCAGCTGCATCAAAAGGTGACGCATGACCATATATCTCACTCAGCTGCATCAAAGGTGACATGACCTGTCTCACTCAGCTGCATCAAGGTGACGACATATATCTCACTCAGCTGCATCCAAGGTGACATGACCATATATCTCACTCAGCAGCTGCATCAAGGTGACATGACCATATATCTCACTCAGCTGCATCAAAGGTGACATGACCATATGTCTCACTCAGCTGCATCAAAGGTGACATGACCATATATCTCACTCAGCTGCATCAAAGGTGACACTGACATGAGATGACCATATATCTCACTAAAGCTGCATCAAGGTGACATGACATGAGATGACCATATACACTCCGCTCCAGTTGTACTTAAAGGTGACATGACGTGAGAGATGACCATATATCTCCACTCCAGCTGCCAAGGTACCGAATTAACCCTACACTTGTTCAGGCAAAGTGTTAACAAGTGAGATGGTTTGAAAGTATCTTACCACAGCTAAAACAATATAGACAACACAGGTATACAAGTTCAGTATATATTGTGGAAAATGTAATAATTCCATGTAATGGTGAGATTTAGCAAATAAAACACAGTAACAATCTGCCCAATGGAGCCTTGAGCAACTATCATAATTACTCAAGTAGAGCATTATAGAGGAACAGTCATATTGTTTCTATTGCCAAATCTGATAAATGGCTGAACCACATCAATCAAGGTCAAAAGTAAGAAGTAGCAATAGTGAAACATTGCATAAAGCACATCAAGTGCCGTTGAGGACGTCTGTGTTGTGACCTTCTGAATGCCTTAAGTTAAACCTTTTAAGGAAGGTCTTCACTCCCTGCAGTAGTTTGTAACAGGTGGGTCAGACCTGCACAGTACCACACCACTGACTTAACACCAAAATATATATCATTTAATACCTCAGAGATCCACTACATCCTCACACAATAATAATTCTTGGCTTTTACACAATAAAGGCCAGAGGAGAGATGGAGTGGCAAGAGAAGGCTGCCTTATAGTTGTGTGTAGTCAAGACTTATTCATCAGTGGCATAAATGTTAAAGCTCACTATGGCCGAGTCAACATTAAATTAGGATTCACGTTTTTAAAATTTAATGTAGCGATTCGTAATTACCAGTAATGAGCCGTTTGGGCAGTTGGTCTGTTAAAACTGTACAGTATGGGAGGAAACTGTAGTATTGTACCTGCAGAAAACCTGCCATGTTTGTTAGTAATGGTAACATCTGTCCCAGGCTGGGGAATGAACCCAGGATACAGTAATGCACCACTAAAGATATACAACTCCTGATGTATCTGAGAGACAATCACCAGTGTTTTGGTATAAAAACAATAAACAATATTTTCATGGTTCTATATCACTAAAGTGGTCTAGTTGCTGAATATATTGGACATTTTCCTGCAAATATTTGTATTCCAGGTATTAATCACATGCATTGTCAACTGTCTATCATGGTTAGTACAGTAGTTCTGTCTACAGTACATATAAGAGAGATATACTGTAGACAGATGGACAGAAAGATGTAGAGAGATATACCATATTTCCCACCATATAAGACATATTTTTAACCTAACAAATGTCTCCATAATTCACCCGATATCATATATAACTGTAGGAAAAAAAAAAAACACACAATAAACTTTTATTACGTCGTCAGGAGTCAGCCCACGAGGGGGGAGCACATCCCTGTCTCCCACACCTCTAGTGAAACAGTTGTCAAATGGCATGCAGTATTTTGTCCTTCCTCTTATTTATTATTATTATTTTTATCCATTCCTCACATTGGCGAGGGTCAACTGTACTGTACAGGTTATGGAACACATTGCAATTTTTCTCATTTAAATATTTGTTCCTTTTATGAAAGTTTAGTTTAGGTGAACTTTCTTGAGACTATAAACCTTTCATGTTATATCTGTGGTTGCCTTTAATATGGTGAGAAATACAGTACAGTAGTATATATAGACAGATAGATAGATAGATAGATAGATAGATAGATAACCTGAAAGTCAGACAGAAAGATAGAACAAAATCATCATCACCATCCAAATCATACAGCCATTTTCCACACCATCTCTTGCAGTCTGTCTTGTCAGGTTCTAAGATCATTTCTTACAATCTCTCCCCATGTCATTCTTGGCCACCTACCACTGGCTCTTCTCCTCACCACATTTAGACTCATGCACCACTTAACCAAGCTGGTCTCATCCATTCTCTCCACATGCCCGATCTCAGTCTACTTATACGTAAATCTTGGCCGATACTCTCAATACCCAGCCGTCCTCTTAGCTCTGAACGGTGATTCTTATCTTTCAGCGTCACAGTACACATCCACCTCACCATTCTCATTTCAGCTCACTCAAGACAGCATATGTCATCCTCTTTAACTGCCCATGTTTTCACGGATATATAACACCACACTTCTCACACTAGTCGTATACATTTTTCCTCTCATGTGATGGGAAAGTCCTCTTGCTGACAATAAAGACAACAGTTCCCTAATCTTCCTCCAGCCATTTCTGACTCTTGACAATGAACAGAACCCTTTCCAGCACTGATCTTGTCACCCAGGCAGCAGAACTCATCCATGACTCACAACACAGCAGCTTTCAGCACCCCCTCCAGCACTGATCACGTTACCCAGGCAGCAGAACTCATCCATCATCCATGACTCACAACACAGCAGCCTTCAGCACCCCCTCCAGCACTGATCACTTCATCCAGGCAGCAGAACTCATCCACACAGTCCAGGGATAATCTTCAGTGTTGAGTTTCTTCAGTCTTGCTGTGGACACATATTTACCTGCACATACACAACACTTACAGTCAGCAACATCCAGCAGTCTGCCATCCACTCTACTGTACCTCTTGTGTACCCACCTTCCTCACTCACTGTACCTCTTGTGTACCCACCTTCCTCACTCACTGTACCTCTTGTGTACCCACCTTCCTCACTCACTGTCAATATCTTTCTTACTGATAGCATAGATATAGATAAGACAGATACTTGTATATATAAAGACAGTCTGACAGATGATCTAGCAAACAAACAGACAGACTGACTGACATACAGGTACTGAAAGACTGATAGAAAGATATAGAGATATAGATAGATAAAGATAGACTGTTAGACAGACATAAAGACATACCTGTAACAGCAGTGTTTCCATGCTCCAGTTGTTAATTTCACAAGGTTTAGTTGTTAACTCATCTGTAAAAAACAAACAAAAACATTTAATATAGTCAACAGTTTATGATAAAAATATGTCCATAAATTAATAATTATTCAGTACAGAAGTTTTATGTTTTATGCAAGTTTGGTTTATGTGAACTTTCTTGGGACTGTAAACCTTAAACTTTGCATGCTTATCATTTTTGCCTTCATATTCCCAGCTAAATTAGAGGTACATTAATACAGTAGTTTAGACACACAGACAGACAGAGAGGTAGAATCCAAGTTATCCAGCACCTGCGGAGATTCAGAGGTGCCGGATTAACAGGTTTTCCCGTTAGTTCAAACTCGCTCTTGGGATCCCCAGTAAATCCTACAATGCTGACCTAGCAAATTCATGTCACAATTTAATTTTTTTTAACACTTATTAAACTCTATATAAATGATGTGGCTCATAAATAAAGAAAATACAAAACAACACGGAGGTACAACTTTACATGTTAATTACGGATCTGTTCACAGTTTAATTAATTAAGGTAATTGGTGTTTATTAATGACTTTTGGAATAATTTAAGATATTTAGAATATTTAATAAGTCAATTACGCTATGGCTGCAAGTTTTAAATAACCTTTATATATATTCTCGAAATAATAAATAGATACTGACAGATATTGGTAAGCCATATGGATAGACATACAGTACATAGACTGACAGACTGACAAATACTTATTGATAAATAGATTGACAAAAAGAGATAAAACTGACTGAGACAGGTATTGATAGAAAGATATTGGTAGATAATAGATAGATAAATTGATAGATATACTGAAAGGCACAGAAAGACAGACACACAAACATACATAAACAGTTAGATCAGTGGTTCCCAACCTCTTCTGTTCTGTGACCCCAATACAAGATGTGATAACTACTGTTGCCCAAGTCTAAATCTTTCTTCGATGAAACAAACTAAACAAATGCAACTATTATCTGTTGTTAAGTGTTATAATATTGACATTCTTATGATACAGGAACATAATGTTAAGGATCCAGGGAAATTATCTTATCTAAATGATTACTTTGAAATTATTATAAACAGTACACATTTGTTAAAAGGAGGAACTGCACTATTAGTTAGAAAATATTCCACTTTCAAATTACTTAACTATGAGATGGATGAGAATGGCCAAATCTTATGTGTCAGAGTTTTCCGTGTTAGACCATATAATTCCCATTATTAATATTTATGCCCCATCAGGGAATACAAGGAAAAGGGAGAGAGAAGAACTGTTTTCTGATGATTTATTATATTATATCAGGAATAATATTGAAAATATAATGATTGGGGGAGACTTTAACTGTATTACCAGCATGAGAGATTGCAGCAATCATGACAACAAAGGTTTGGTATCCAAAGCCTTAACAACTCTTATAAAGGATATAAAACTTAAGGATGTTGCCATGATACAGAATTATCAACCTGAGTTTACATATGTTAGGGATAAATATGGGTCAAGAATAGATAGGCTTTATGTTAAGGGGCTTGAGAACAAAATAGTAAAATGTGATACAGTTCCAGTCAGTTTTTCAGACCATTCAATGGTTCTGTCAAAAGTAAACATTAACAAAAATGTAAAAGTAGGTAGAGGTTTCTGGAAACTGAATTGTAGTATTTTAAACTCTGATGAGGTACAGGAAAACTTTGGAGTGTTTTGGAAACATGTTAAGGAGGAAATAAACAAATACCCGAATATTTTACAGTGGTGGGAACAATGTGCTAAACCAGAATGTAAGAACTTTTTTATGAAAATATGTAAAAGAATGTCGCAAGAAAAATATGGGCTAATTAATTTATTTCAAAGTAGGTTAAGAGAAATTTTTGAAGAAGCTAAATACTTTGATGTGAATTATGAAGAAATAAAGGCACTGAAAACCAGAATAAATGAATTAAGGAACAAAATTTGTGAAGGTGTTAAAATAAGATCCAGAATAAAAGACAGAATAGAAGGAGAAAAGCTTTCACGCCATTTGATCTGTAAAGAAAAAAGTAATGGAAACAAGGAATTAATTACTAAGGTTAAGAGAGAAAATGGTGAAGAAATTGTGAATACAGAAGGCATAATCTATGTAATTAAAGAATTTTGGGGGAATCTATATAAAAGAGTTGAAACTAATGATGAATACTGTGAAAACTTTATAGAGAATTGCAAACCAAGACTAAAGGAATCAGAAAATGAATCTTTAATAAAACCAGTAAACGAGAAGGAAATATGGGAAGCAATTAATAATCTCAACCTTGGTAGATCCCCAGGTAATGACAGTCTACCTGCAGAGTTTTATAAACATATGTGGAAATTTATCAGGGTAGAGATCATAGAGGTTATTCAGTTTATTTTCTTAAATAAAGTATGAAGTGTATCACAAAATGCTGGAATAATAAAGCTCGTGCCTAAAAAGGGGAATCTGAAATTGATTGAAAACTGGAGACCAATAACCCTCCTAAATGTAGATTATAAAATAGTTGCAAAAATATTGGCAAGGAGAATTAAACCTTTTTTACATTCAATAATGTCAAATTACCAATACTGTTGTATTAAAGGAAGGTCAATAATAGATTGTAATATCATGGTTAGGGATATAGTGCAATTTGTTAGTAGTGAGAACCAAAAATGTGCCATGATAAACTTAGATTGGTCAAAAGCATTTGACAGAGTTGATATAAAATTTGTATTTAGGGTAATGGAAAAATTTGGCATTAACAATGTTTATGTAGACTGGATTAAAATGTTGTATGGAAATTGTGAGAGTAAGGTTTTGGTTAATGGCATACAAAGTAAGTCATTCAGGATTGAAAGATTAGTAAAACAAGGATGTCCTCTTTCTATGATTCTCTATATATTTTTCCAAGAACCTTTTTATTAATCAGTAAACAGCAATGCCAGAATAATTCCCCCACAGTTATCAAACAACATAAAAATTCCCATACTGGGATATGCTGATGATTCTACAGTCTTTGTTGTCACAACAAGTATTATGGGCTTGGGTGAGTGGAAGAAGAGAGATTTATGGCCTGTGCTGTGGATGAGATCAGCAGAATATTCCAGAATTTTAGGCACTATATATTATAAAGATTACGAACACACTGTTAATATGAATTGGAACAAAATCTTGGAAAATATCAGCATTACTGTTAATTGTTTATCAAACAGAAAATTATCCTTGTACCAAAAAGCAATTATTGTGAACTCAAAAGTTTTGTCCAAGGTATGGTACCTATCCCATACATTTCCATTAAATAAAATGTACTCACAGAAAATTGAATCATGTACAGTATTTTCAAATACATATGGAGTGGTATGTACCAGCCAATTAAAAGACAAACTCTGTATTTACCTGTCAAACAAGGTGGTATTGGTGTAGTTAATGTGTTTTGCAAAGCAGCTGCTATATTATGTACAACTTTCATAAAAATTGCTTCAGACCATGAAAAGAGGAAATCTTTAACTCCATATTATACAAGTATAAGGACCAGCTATCTATGAGAAATGAAACCTACGGATAATGTTTCCTACTTGCCTCCACCTTATTAAAGTATTGCAATCAATACTCTTAAGAAGGTTAGCAAGGCATCATACCTTTCCCAATGTCAAGAATAAAGATGTATACAATATGTTAATGATATGGACAAAACCTGCAGTTGAAGAAAAGTATCCGCTGTTTAAATGGCCTTTTATTTGGGAAAATATTACTTGTAAATATATTGATCCTCACCAGAGAGGCTTCATATATAGGTATATTCATGAAACTCTACCAACAAATCAGAGACTAAAAATGTCAAACATAAAAAAAGATGATAGTTGTGTAAGATGTGGTGAGGTAGAATATCCATTACATGTATTTTACTTCTGTTTCCATAACAGAGATAATTAAATGGTTTAAAAATCTCCTGAATACAGTCTGCAATGTCAATAGCAAATTATTTCTACATTTCTTAATGTTTAATATTAGCTGTAGTGATAATAAGAATAAGAATACAATGATCATGCTAATGTCAGATTATATTTACTGTATGTGGTTAAGTAGGAAAGAAAATTATAATGTTAAGGAGACTATAGCCTTTATTAAAGGCAGGATATATTATAATAAATGGATGATCAAGTGTATTTCAAAAGAAAAGTCATCCAAATATTTCACTTACAAATATGTTAATATGTAATATTAAAAAAAAAAAAAATAATAATATTAATACTAATACAACATAAAATTATGTTTCACAATACGGAGGAAATAGTTACTATGATGCACATTCAGTTAGACATAATAGAATATCCTCAGTAATTTTTGTGAAATATGGTTCAAATTTATTAAAAGCTGCTACAACAATTGTCTTTTTTTATGACTGTTAGTGAGCTTTAAGTGGTGTGGTGTGGTGTGGTGTGGTGTGGTGTGGTGTGGTGTGGTGTGGTGTGGTACAGTACAGTACAGTACAGTACTTGCTCTTTACACAAGTCTACTGTGTTACCTGATTCACGTTATTTTCTCCAGAGTCTAACATTGACTCTTGTGGTTTTGTTAATATGTTTCAGGATATTAACCTGCAGGTCCAAGAGCTACAGCTGTGCCTCACCAAGAACACAGTACGTTGGAAACACCGCTTCTTGTCCGAACACCAAAGTTAGTACTGAGATGGGTGACTGCCTGACCACCACATGCTGCTGGCATAAAGACTCTACTGGAAGTAAGTATTTCATGGCTTTGTCAGCTGTCCTTGGTCAAATTGTCTGAATATTATCTTTAATATATGGCTGACAGTAACTGTCCACGTCTGCTTAAAAAGAAAAGGATTTGAATTGTAAACCCAGATACTTAAACAGCATGTATAGTAGTACAGTGTCTTTGTATGAATTTTTAAACCATAGCCTGAGTAAAAGTACGAAAAAAATTTAGTACTTTTTAAAATGTATATATGGTACTCAAAAATGTTACTTGAGTACAGTACTCAAGTAACATTTATTTCATTACTTTACAACTCTACTAAAAACTACGTCCCTTTCAGGAACATTAACACACCAATTTTAACTCTCGGGAATCACTATTACCATTTCATGTAGGTTTTTTTAAATATAACTTTAAAGAGTATATAATTTTAAACAGTTTGACAGTACAAACAAAACACTGTAATCTACTGGCAGGTCTAAGGTAACAGCCACAGCAAACAGTACATTCCAACATTTATTTGGTCTAGGAGGGTCAAGCCTTGTTTAGTATTATTATGAACTCACATGGTTCAAATTACCCCCATGGTCGCCAGGCTGGGAACCACTGACTGTTAAATATATAGAAAGATACAAAAAGGAAGACAAATGCCTAACAGCAGCACAGTTACAACAACAAAAATTTATGGTCAAACAATAGTTGTGGCTGAAACCGTAAATTTACATTATCTTCAAACTCACTTGACACAACTAACAGTACACGACACACAAATAACAGTTTGACAAACACAAAGATTTCTTGTATAGGCTATGAGAGCTGTTCCTATAGATTACCTTGTCATAGGTGGTGGTGCTGTGGTGGTGGCAATGGTGAGGCTGGTGGGAGTTCTTGTTCCATGCTCCTGTTATCATTTTCATCTGTCATGGAGCAGTTCATTTTCCCAAAGTTTTGTTGCAACATCTCCTCCTGTAACAAACAAAATATTATACGTAATTACAAAAAAAAAAAAAAAACTTGGACAGGTTAGACCCAGACAGCTGTTGTACCATCTATTATAATTATCTTAGGTATTATTACAATTTCAGCCACAACTCAGTTAGAGCAATTTTGTGTTTACTATTACAGTCGTTATATCTCATCAATAGAAACATCTTTATCTAATACTGTCCCACCTTTTGTAACAAATTAACACAGGTCTACAGTTGGTCTGAGGGTCTGAGCATACTATACTGTACTGTACTGTACTGTCCACAAAAAATGTAAAATTACACCTTGACGCTTCAACAAAGTTGCTTACATTGGTACCACATCAAAATAAGTACTTTCTGTTTAATATGGCGGGGATGGCTCGGAAGTTAGGTAAGGTTAAGTTAGGTTACCTTGGTAGGTTAGGTCAGGTTCTATGGAGGGGAGGGGTGATAACTCCAAAACCACTCATTTCTGATGGATATGAAGGTCAAATTTGAATGAATCATAACAAATACCACAGGATAAACACAAAGTTATGGTCAAACAATAGTGGTGGCTCAAACTGTAAATTTACATTATCTTCAAACTCACTTGACACGACTAACAGTACACGACACACTAATAACAGTTTCCTATCCTGGACCAACACAGGTCAATATTTAGTAGTTACCAACACCTAACTGAATATTGAGTCATATATGGGGAGAGAGAGAGAGAGATTAAAAAAAAAAATATTCTATAACATTTCTGTCAAAAATTTGTAGTTTGAGTTATTTTAACTTTTATTTTATAATATTTAGCTAATCGGCAAGAGTGTTGATGTGACGTTATACTCGTGCGCTAATCAGCATTCAAGTCCGGTTGGAATATGGCGTCTGTGTGAGATGGACATACATACATTGGCTGGCTGCCGCATTATTCAGAGCATTTTGAACAATAAAGCAGCAGCCATTGTCATTTTTGGGGCTGACGGTATTCTTGTTTCATCTGTCACAAATTGATAATAAGGAAGTTATTGGGTTTTAAAAAGAATAAAATCAAAGCACTTGTTGCCCCTATGCTGTTGCTCAAATTGTGTGTTCATAAGTTCGCTAACCTCACGCGCATGTTATTACATAGCGTCTGGGGGTCCTGGCCACCGGGGATCCACTAAGGGGTTAGGTAAGGTTTAGTTTGGTTGTATTGTATAAGTTAGCAAGCACGGAGTACCGGGAATTCAGAACACACAATCGATAGAACTATTATTTCTACTATTTTTTTTCTCGTAAAAAAACAGAATATCTGTTACATAATGTGTTCTTCTGATGTTTTCTTGTTGCAATTCTGACAATTTTGGATAAATCCAGAATGAGTGATTTCCGATGAAAACGAATGTCAGATTCGAACCAATCGCATCAAAAAACATCAGTAATACACATTTTCTTATCAGATTCTTTGGTTGCTGTAAAACGCAAATTTTACCGAATAATAATTATTCATATAATTCACATACATTATATATATAATTGAGGGTAAAATAGTTATATAACTCCTGCCTTTATAGCCCACCCGGGCACAGGTCATCGACCCACAAGATTATATTAATCTACACCATGAAAATGACGGAAAACCAGGTTTTTGAAGTGAGACAGATTGTAGGAGTGTGGAAACACAGAAGAAGGCAGAGCATTCCACAGTTTGGCTGTGTGAGGAAAGGAGGTACTATAACGGGTTATTCTAGTGTGACAGACATCCAGAGAGAAACTGTGGGCACCGCGGGCAAGACGAGTGTTACGAGCCCACGGCCTTGCCGGCGGTACACAGGATGCCATATCCACCGAACATTGCCCGTTAAAGTACCTGTAAAAGGGAGTGAGTTAAGCAACATTGTGGTGAAGAGAAAGGGAAGAGATTATCAACAGTTGGACAGAAGAGGAGCCACCCCAGATATGAGAGCAGTACTCCAAGTTAGGACGAATGAATCCTTTATAAACTTTAAGCAACTGCTCAGGAGTGAAGTAACTGACCAAATCTAATAATATTGAAAAATTAATATCTCGGTTATCTGCAATTTCCGGCGGAAATATCATAGAATTAAAAGGTCTTAGAATTATCTAAACATTACGAAAAACATATTAATAACAGCGAGAGAAATACCGGAGCAAGATAAAAAATTCACAAAAGAAAATTATCTTAAAATTAGACGTCTTATTCGAATATGATAATAGATTTGGGGTAGAGTAAACTGTATATGTCTATGATTTTAAATCCATGTGCTTAAAATAGTTACAATAAAAAAGTCTCAAAAAGCCTGACAGTTAATACCATTGTTGACATCGGCCGAGAGCACCACAGTAACTGGGCCGAGTTCACTGGGCCCAAGTCACCAAGGGCTGACTTCACTCTTACTTTGTCCAAAATGTCGTCACAACAATTATAAGGCTCTCTCTCTCTCTCCCTGCACACGTCTCCCACAAATGTCATCACAATACAATATAACAAAACAATTTACCTCACACACCTCACAGCAGCTCTTGTTGTTTACATCATGGCCAAGGGTTTGTATAAGAGGCAATAGTTTTACCTTAAATTTGTGTTTAAACGTTCTAAAAATTATAAAATTACTCTAAATATTGTTAATTATCTTGATTTGTGTAAATTTTGTCACTGTGTGTTGCTTGCCAATGATGCGGTAAAATTTTTATATAAGATCTCCCTCAGGCAAGATATTGGGGCGGGCCAACGGTAAGGAGGCGTATCATATGGCCCAACGGGATAAAGAAAATGCACTAGTTGAGACTGTGTGTGAGAAGGACCTAGGTGTGTATGTTGACAATGAGCTGAAGTTCTCGGGCCATTGTGAGAAGAAGGTAAATCAGGCAAATAAATTATTGGGTCTTATAAGAAGGTCGTTCAGATATCTAGACGGCCCGTCCCTCATGACGATCTTCAGGAGTGAAGTGCTTCCCCATCTGGAGTACTGTCACTCCATCTGGTCCCCGAGATATGCCAGGGACTGGCAGTTGGTTGAAAATGTTCAAAGGAGGGCCACCAGACTGGTGCCTGCACTTCGGCACCTCAGCTACCCTGAGAGATTGGAGCGCCTGAACTTGCCTAGCTTATACTACAGACGGGCAAGGGGGGACCTAGTTGAGGTGTATAAGCATATCAGGGGGCACTACTCAGTTGAGTGTCCTTACTTGGAGCTGGCGGACGCTCGCCCCACAAGGGGTCACAGCTCAAGATTGAAGAAGCCGCAAGTCCAGAAAACCGTGAGGGCAAACTTTTTCGGAGTGAGAGTTGTAAACTCTTGGAACAATCTACCAGAGAGTGTTGTGACGGCACCGAGTGTGAGCTCTTTCAAGAGAAGACTTGACCAACACTGGAGCAGGTTCAGGTACTTTCAGGAGCCGGTGCACGCCCAGTACTTTCCAACAGTGTGTAACAGAGACGTGACCGATCGCCCAAGCGGCTAACGCGCCGATCTTTTGGTTAAGAGGATAAAAGAAAAGGAAAAGTAATCAGAGACGTTGTAGTGGATTCTTCCCCTACAAACGCCGTTTGTCGCTGACTAGCCGACCCTCGAATTCCCCAGTGTATGCCTCGTGGTCTAGGTCAACCAGCGCCGCCTTACATGACTGAGGTCAACTATTAAGCCACGCCTACCTCCGCTATATAAGACCTCACCTCGTGGTGACCTAGCTATTTTCTACCAACAGCCACCAGCCAGCAACACCACCTCCTCCTCCGCCTGCCTGGCGGTCCTCTCTCCCGCTGGCGAGCATGGCGACCTACAAGCTGTCCTCCTCTGAGCGTCCTCACCAACCAGCTCTCTCTACATCACGCTTGTAACCATGCTGCCTTCCCAGCACCAAGCTGCATTGTACATCCAATACAACATATATACAGTGAGCACATTGTGAGTCTCCTTTCTCCATCCCATCCTGAGTGTGAACCAAACAAACTCGTACCCCACAGGATAAAAGGGTGAGAAAATGATTTTGTTGTCGATTACCAATTTAATGGCGACGTGTGACACCGAGGATTCTAATACATTATTATAATCCGTGACACGTGCAACATAGTGTACATAGCTGTGTGGAGGTCGGAGACTCGGCGTGTTGACATCTTGCAACAATTACCCCAAATTAATTAATCTTTCAACTCAACAATCCAAGCTTATTAGCACAAGCGGCTAACACGCCGCTATCAGTGGCGAAGACGATAAAGTCAAGTGGTTGTTGCCGTCAGATTGGTGGAGGTCTTCAACATGGACTCAATTGTTATCGAGCCAGGGTTGTTATCGAGCCAGGGTTGTTATCGAGCCAGGGTTGTTATCGAGCCAGGGTTGTTATCGAGCCAGGGTTTGGTAGCCAAGGAGAGATCTTCCATCAGCCTCATCACTGTGTTCGAGTTCCTTTAGTTACACTTGACTTGGTTACCATACAAATAATTTACCTTGCAATTTGTTTATAACTAATTGCATTTTCTAAAAAATATTATTATTATTAAACTAATTGTGAAATTATGTAGGTTTATGAATCGCTTTTTATAATCATTTATGTATAAAAGTAAATAAAAATGCATCAGGTAAATCGAAGAAATTGTTTACATTTGCGCGAGACTCGACGCTGGGGATGAAGATGCTGGAGAGGACTGAGCATGAGCACTCGCCACCCTCCCAACCCTCCTTGACAGGTAATAACCACCTTGTTACCTTAAATATAGTGCTCATATAGTAGGTATGAGCTATATTGCAACAGAATCTAATATATAAATTTGTTACAGTTTCAATTATACCGTCCGTTCGGGAGGTCACGATCTGTCAATTGTAGAAGATAATTTGGTTACCTTAGAAATGTAGGCCACACCGGACAGTAATGTCTGCAACGAGAAGAAATAATCTTAAAAGTGTTGAAATTTAAGAGAAAAACTTAAATCTTTTGTTATGTCATCTGCCCACCCAGAGTAGGTATTAGGCAGCCACCAAACAGGGAGGTACTACCGCCTGGGGAGATATTGGAAGCATAATGTGTTGTCTAATGGTAGACCCTGCTGCTATATGTGACCAAGTCCCAGGTTGATGATCTGACTTTCTGCCTCATTTACACACAATTGCTGGGTCTCAATTGTTTCTCTTACTATTGGCAACACAACATATATACTGTATATTGTTTCTAACAATTTTTTTTTTCAATTTGTATTTCTTTATGGTTCTTTATTATTATTATTATTATTATTATTATTATTATTATTATTATTATTATTATTATTATTATTACTACTACTACATTTTCGCCCCGTAGGCCCCGATGTGGGTCAGTGACCTGTGCCTGGGTGGGCTAATCCCCATAAAAAAAACCCCATTTCTGACAGTAGACAATACAGTAATTACCGGTTTAGAACAGCTCTCATTAGAAGGAGCAATATAATGAAGGTAAAGAGGTAAAATTATCATTTCGGTCATGCACCTATTTTCCGAAGCTCAGAACCGTTCAAAATACAAAAAAAAAAAAAATGATTTCAACCCAACTTAACCTCAGCTAACCTAAACCTAAATTCGCTGCATGACCAAAAGGATAATAATATTGGAAAGGCGTAGGTGATGGTTAGCACCAGAAGGACTTTGTGGAATTGCTCTAAATTTTCAGATGTTGTTTGGCTGAGATGGATTAATAAAATTGAAGCGACAACATTGTAGTATTTTTTTCTTTTCAACTAATCGTTCGATCATAAATTACTTGCAAGTGGGCAGGGCATGAAAGAAGAGGGAAATAATGGGGTAAAAACACTGCAGACACTGATCATATGGCAGTAATGTTACATGTATGTCCTTTGTAGGTGAAGAAATAAAATATTTACCGTAATTATGGTGCCACTGGATCACCCATGGTAACCATGTTTCGGTTTACATTGTCTGCTATACAAAAGCGTCCTTGATCTTTGTTTACAGGTTAAGAAACGGATGATGGTCTCATTGGGCGTGTTTATTGCTATTTATATTGGACTGAATTTCGTTCATTTTTCTAGAGATGTTTGGATTATAGTAAGTAAGAAAATCGAAATGACAGTGTGCAGATAAGGAAGTTAGGTGAGGTTAGGTAAGTTAGATAAGTTTAGGTCAGGTTCTAATAGGGTCTGTGCATTTTTGCTTCCATCTTCGTGTTCAGTATCATGCAAATAGTATCTCCAGAAATTTTGGTTCAATTCCATAAGTTATTTCTGGTGCTAACTGCCTCCTCCACCTTTACCAAAATCAATAGAAGAAAACTTGATGCACTTACCAGTGAGCAGTCCTAGCACTAAGTAACCCTCCCAGTGAAATTTTCATACATAATGTTAATAATAAAATAACACCCTAAATAACCTACCTAACTGAAAATAATGTACCGGTACTTTCAACCTCGTATAGGTAGCTCTGTTAAGTTAGGGGGGTTAGGTTAAGTTTGGTTGGTTGGTTTATCATATTTACAATAAATTATTGGTTGGTTGATGTTAGGAAATGTTCGTGGGTATGAGGAGACAGGTTCAGATAAGAAACATCATCCCTGACAAAATTGCCAAACTAATACAAATACTGTACTGTATTGCCTTAAAACATTATTATTTGTTAGTGTACAGGTATTATTAATTTAAGAACTATTTACAATGGTTTATACAAAATTTTTCAAAAGTTAATGGATTTTTTTTGTGTGTGTATGACAGAGAGGCATTAATGTCTGCGAGGCATTTATCTTTTAGTCCTTTGGGGATGTGGCATATGGAGCTCAATTTTCCATGCAGTAGTTTCCATGGTACATAAACTTGAAACTTTAAATGTCATTTACTCGAAACAGGCGTTCTGGAGATAAGCCATTCCAGTTTTAGGCGCCTCATATGTTGATAGACTTCCCAGCATTCAATTTACACCTTTATGTAATTCCGTCAAGAATTTGTTTTTATTTTAGTAAGTACAGTAGAGTAATTATGTTTGTCTTTACAGAATGGGTCAAAATGGATGCCTCTTAATTACAGAGGATGACATCATGACACAAGCAGAAGCAGTACCCTAAAGGTTCACTGAGGATTCATCGGTAAAAATCAACATGGGGACCAGAGCAGCGGCCTGTAAGATTTATATAATTTGTTCAGGTTTTATGTGTATGTCTGCTGGTATGTTTATATGTATGCTTTACCTTGAAATAGTGATCAATGCTGTTACCTTATCTTACTTGGAAATGTTTATCACCTATTAGGAAGCTTTAACTTTTGGTGTGGCCTCTGTGTTGGCACTGGCTCTCAGTGTATGTTTCTTGTAGAGCTGGCTGCTGTATACACCATAACCATATATGACAATAAACCCAACAAATGTAACTTAAGCAAAGTAACCAATTCTAATGATCTTGGTTTATATATGGTTTAGTTTTTATTTTATGCCCTATACCCTACATCTGTGTCTAACTGGCTTTCTAATGAAGATAAATTAAACCTAAACCTGAGTCACTCGCCACTTCTTCAATTCAGTCCACTCTCCCTTTCTCGCGTCTAACTTCCTCGACTTTACATCAAATTCTGTACAGTATTGCCAAAGAGGACTTTATTAATATCATCATAAAGAATTTTCTGACTCTGTATCTTCTTTTACAGTTACGGCCAAAATCCGCAACTTGAATGACTACCATCTGCGACTCCTCCATGCCGTGGTGCCCCCTCCTTCTGGCCTTGATATTGCCAACACCCTCAAATATTTCTCTCAGACATTATTAGGTAAGCAGTCAGTTCAGTATGTGTTTGAGAAAAATCCAAATTTGCAGGGGTTTTTTGTGTACTACTAGACATTTACTGATAGTTTAGTGTATGGTATTGTTAATGCAGATGAATTCAAATGTTACCGGTAGGTGTATTTTGGATTTACTGTATTAGTTTTTATTGGCCTGTAAAGCTGAATACTGTATTTTATATAATGATAATTATATTATTGTTATTGGTTAAGGTGTGTTGAGGGATATTCAAGAACGGCCTATGGATATGCTGCGCCATCGGGACCAGGATACCATGCGACTTGCTCTTTTTCCCAACTTGGACTACGCTGGCTTACATCAATCACTTGTAACTTTGGTTGATATTATGCCTCTGATTCAGTATGGCACACAAGGTGAGTTTAAGTGCAAGAATACTGTACTTATTTAACTTCTTCAGTTATAAGGATGTAGATCTATGATCACTCCTCTACCTCCTTTGTTGGTGACAACAACCAGCTGTGATGTAGTGTGTGGTTGTGATGAAACCAGCTTGGGTGGAGCATGGGGCTTTCTTATGCTTGCATTTGCTATCGAGTGATTATAAATGAACCTCTGGCAAGAATTACATTCCTATAATATTTGTATTTTATGATATGAACACTAACATTAATTTAATTTTTATGTGATCTGCATTTTGGAAGACAGTATGAGGGGGTCAATCCCCAAAAGAACTAAACTGTGGAGGAGTTTAGGCTGTTACATTATCATTAAGCAATTTGTTTAATAAATACCAAAATTATTTTGATTTTGGCTTTTAACATTCTCCCATTACTGTACTTGTACAACTTTCCTGATCTCCCACCAGCATCTTCTGAATCTTTCATGGATGGTTATGCTGATAAATACTTTCATAAACAGATATCATCTGAATCATTATCTGTGATGTTCTACAAATTCATAAAATTTCTGTATCTTACAAAGCTACTTATTTAGAGTTTGAAGTAGAAGCTGTATTTGTGAGCTATACTGATAGCTCCTGTGTTTGAATAATCCATAGTTTACTTATGTTCAGACTAATTGGTAAGATCAGTTTTAGAACATAACATAATTTAGTTATTTTGTCTCACCAGTGTTTGGTCAAGCACTGCTGAATACCATGGCCTGTCTGATAGTGTTCCTGGACCGCAAAGTAATTGACACTCTGCCATACCTTGTGGCATCCATGATGACTTCAGTTCCTGACACTTTACACCAGCAGCTAATAACTACCCTTTGCTATTACATACTTCCTGTTACAGTTGGTAAGTATTTATGCTTGCTGTTACTTAGACCACAGATGGGGCTACCCTATTGTAATTAAATATCAAGTAGAGGATTCAAACTCCCATTATCTAATTTACATATTTTAATGTAGTACTTTTGACTTCATGTTGCCTCTGAAAACTCAGCTGCCTCCATACCATAAAGGTCTAATTTGGTTTTGTTCTTGTGGTGCACTTGTTTAGTTCCTCATAAAACCAACAGTCTGTATGGGTACTGTACCTACTGGGTAATATATTTGAATAGGTATAAAGATGTCTGCTAATAGTGGAGCTTGTGTAACCTTTTGGGACTATAGGAGCTTCATTCTTATGTTTTTGAAGTTTTTGTGTGATTGTTTCTGATGTAGCTGGGGCTCAGCTGGGGATGGTACCCTTTGTTAGCTATTTTTTTTTGTGTGTGTTATGAGTGTGTTTAGTTTACATGTGGCTTTTGTGTCATTTGTTTGCTTGGTGAAATTCATGTGCAGTTCCAGTTTGATGCCCAGGATTTGTTGATGGTGACTGAGGAGGATATCTTAGTTGAATATGTGGGTGAGATTCATGTGTCATGCAGTACTGGTTCAACTATTGTTCAATTTCATGAAGAGTAAATAAGACATGGATTGGAATTATGATGTCTTGAGAGACTTTTGTAAGATTGTCATATTCTTACTTGAAAAACACCTCATTGAATCTTGAGAAGGCCATTAGATTTGTGTGGATTTGGTAAGAAGTGGCGGCAAAGTGACATTAATGTATTATCTTTTAGGGCAGTGTCCCAGCTGTGCATCTTTGTGGGTATAGTGGGTCTGTCAGGTGCTGGGAGTGATATGTCTCACAAACCACTCACTCAATTCTTTAGCCATAAAATTGGGTGTCTTATAACTGCACTACAGTCCTTCTCTTACATTTCACTTAGTAATTACCAAGGAAAATAAAAAGTGTTAAATAAATGACTGGAGAAGATGTATAAAAAGTCTTTCCCTAATTTCAAAGAGGGAATTTCTGTGCAGTTACCAAAATTTTTATAAATATTGGTGCTCCAGAAAATTAACATAAAAATGTTATCATTTCATAAGATCTTTATCCTATTTAATCCTTTCATTAATTGTAATACCAGGGCTAGTTTTCAGTTTTATTTTTTGTTCCTTCAGGTGCAGCTGCTGTAGAGGGTGAAGAGGAGAATTATGCTACTGCTTCAGTACCTGCTGTTCTGATGATGATCTTCCAGTATACAGATAACTCAGGTAAGATGCTGTGCCACACTAGTTACTGGGTCACCATTTCTTCCTATTTATTTCTGAAGATACATATTCTTACATTTGATTGAGATAATTTTTCTTTTGACTAAGATTCTGTATATTGTTTCTTTTAACTGAGTTATCCTGTACTCCTTGTTAGTGACTGAGATACACTCATTCTATTGAGTGTGAGGCTTGTGAGGGTAAGAATTACCCTTATACAAACACATGGTAGACAGAACACAGTCCTATTGAGGAGAACTGGAGTCAGATTATTCAGTCAATGACATGCTCAGTAGTTGACTCAAGCCCTTTCAGTCACTTGGCTAACATTTCCTCCCTTACCTCCAACACTACTGTGCTTGTTGCCATTGGCTTGACTGCTGCAATCAAATGTGTGAATTTGGTATTACAGGGTACTTCAAACTTTTTTATGTACTGTACACTATATACAGTAGTATGCATATTTCTGTGTATGTATGATGTGAGTGTGTTAGTTTTATACATTAGGTACAAGAATACTAGTGGAATTATTACTTCCAGCTTATCATTGTGAGCTGATAGAATGCCTCATGTCCTTAAAGTCGGACATTGTAAAGGATCTCCTGTGTGTCATTGCATATGGAACTCCAACCTCCCGGCCACCTGCTGCCAACCTTCTCTTCTATTACTGGCCAAACCTCAACCCAACTCTTTATGACCGCAGAGGCGTGCACATAAAATTTAGTGGTGAGTTTGTACTAATAACAAGTTACTTTAACTATTCTCATTAATAACTCAGCAACAATATATGTAACCAGTAGATTTTTTCTTACATGTTTTCTGTAATATTATACTACATGCTTTAACTATTATTGTACAGAACTCTACACAACTTAAGTAAACAGAAATTTATTATATGTCATAGTAAATTAATATTAGTAAGAAATAGATTATTAATTTTTTCCTTTATTTTAGCAATCTCTGAGCCTGAGGTGATTATCACATACAGTATTACAATTTTATATTTACTTTCCAGGACTTTATATATATAAATAAATAAATAAATAAATATATATATATATATATATATATATATATATATATATATATATATATATATATATATATATATATATATATATATATATATATATATATATATATATATATATATATATATATACTGTACATTAAAGATTTTGTGTCATTGACATTAACCAATATGACCACTTCTATTCCACCAATACCAATGAATAAGGGAATTCAGTGTTTATAGACCTGTTTGTGAAATTCAGGTAAATTTTTTTATTCCTGCCATTTTTAGCTGTACAGAACGTGATCCACAGTGATGATCATAACTCCTTTTTTTCCAGTATAATACATGTACTGTACTGCATTGTATAATTAACTTGCTTTACACAGCTTCCACTGAGTGGCTGGGATGATTGTGTTACGTATAACCATTTAATATTTTTTTCACTCTTACAGCTCCCAGAAGAATATTTGCACTACTCTCTTTGGAATTGATTAAATAAAAATATTATATTTGTATGTTTTTCACCTACATAGTCAACAAGTTATAATAACCTCTTTCATAGAAGCTTCAACTTACATAATTACAACATTAACATATAAATCCTGTTTCATTACTTTTATACTCAGTTATTTAGTTTCTCCTTAATATGAATGTTACACATGTTGACCAGAGAGGAGCCTTAAGTTGTGCCACATCCATTTAACATTACTAATACAGTTTTCCCCTAGCTGCCTCATTAGCCTCAGGCAACACTGATCTTGTATAGTAATCCTATGAGCAGGATTTCTTGGATAAGGTGTAATAATTGTCTTCACTGAACATGACTAACCATTTTTCCAGTGTAGGCCACCATCACATTTTCTTCCAGCACAGTGAGGGGTAGAACTGGGTTAAAATCTTTAATTCTTGTTTTTATTTCATAATTTGCTCTCCTTCACTGACTCAAATCTTAGCCAGTGTCTTTGTGATGGTCCTGATAAATCAATTTAAGTGATATCCAAATGATTTAAGTCTACACTAGTTGCTAAGATCTGGGTCTTTGTTCTGTACACTTTTTTCTTATTTCTGTCAAACTTTTAGTTGTGTTAAATCCACCAATAATTCCAACATGTACATGTGATGTTTGTTTGTCAACACCTCCTCCACCTCCTATGTTACTTGGGTTTCTCAGTGTTAGTTTTATATTAGACTTATGTTGATGTATGTAAGATGTGTCTGATTGGTTGGTGTTTTGGCCATCTCCCTGTTTCACAACTTGTTTGATGGGGTGTTCAGTTGTTGATGTCTTCATTTTTTGTCATGCATTTGTTAGGAATTTATTTATTTGATTATTATTTCTATGCAGACACTCATATAATATAACAGAATGCATAGCATGGGAAGTTACTAATACACTCATCAGAAGGAGAAAGAAAAAATTATGGCTTTAATATATAAAGCTCTTAGGCAAGGGCTAGTTTTCAAATGTTGACTAATCTGATTTATTTTTTGAATTTGGAAAATATTATAAAAGTATGTACAGTAGTATATCTATAGTCAACTACAGTATATTCATGCCCAGAAGAAGAGCCAAAAGATGTAAGATTAAAACCATATGGTTCAGACATGGAAGAAAGACATCTTTCATGGTAAATCATAATAATTTAAAGAGTAATAATTGATAACCAAAACCCTTTTACAGTTATGCCAACATCTTGAATATAGCCCAGAGCTTCCTGATGTTGCTATCACACATGTGCAACAGAATCAGGGAATATCAGTTTGAGTGAGGATACTGTAGTGTCTAGTTTCCTCCAAAAGATTTAGGGAAGTTGACTGTACAACATTACATGCAGTGGATATGTATCCCTGATGATGTGACACAATCAACAGCATGTCCATGGAAACAGAGGGATCAGGTCTTGAAGGTGCTCACTCCTCAACTTACTGAGGCATCATTATACTTGGCTTAACTCTCAGAAAGCTTAGCCTTGATGACACTGGATGTTAGCACCTCATCCTCAGACCCCTGAAAGTCACCCTCTCCCCTTGTAAATGCCTCGTTCCCCGGCAGCTTACGATGCAGTGTCTGCATTGAGGCTAACAAAAGACTTGTTTGTTGCTGTTTTCTCATGCTTATTTATGTTTGATCATCTGTCAGTGTGACCATGATATGTTTATCAATACTGCATTTCCCTGTTATCTGTCCCTGGGAAAGTTTTCATAGTTTCACATCTGTGCAACTGTAAAGACCCGGCACAATGAGTTATGTGTCTGTCACAGCAACGAAACAATGGAAAGCTTCCCATCCAAGACCCTTTCTCCTCCTCTGTCTTCTAACTTCATAGCTGTAGCATCCAAACAGCATACTCTGTCACTTTCTACAGTGTGTATTCTCTCTTCTAGACATATCAAGTGTGTTGAAGGCAATGTTCAATAAATCGGCACAGGCCGCGAAAAGTGATTCGATATCCCAGACTGCAAATTCTGACAGTGGGGAATCGAAAAATCCAAAAGGTATCATATTTTCTGCCTGACTTATTGGTCCCATTTATATTTACACTTAGATCTTTATATCTAGACATAATTCTTAATGTATAATACACTAACTTGTACCCCTTTAGTGCTCATGATTCATATATATATTTATATATAGATTCTGGGAAATTAGAAAAGCTGTGAGTCATGGCACAGGGCTAAGAGAATGTCAAGCCACCTTTTTTTTCCCCTAAGTGACATTGATCCTATAAAAAAAGATCAGAAAAGAAGGAGAAATGTTTACCCTATTCTGCCTCTTCCTGCCTGTCCTCCAAAAGTCTCCGTGCCCATAACTGTCACGAACGAGACAGGTCTTTCAACTGCATTGTCTCTGCTATGGCTCTCAGTGGACTTGCCAGCTTCTGGAAACAACCTTTATCTCCCTCTCCCTCGGGTATGCCCTTCCCTGGACTGTTTCACACCATTCAACTTGATGTATCCTTTGCCATGGATGTGGTTTAGGGAAACTATTAATATTGGAAGATTGTGCTTATTATTATGACAGTACATTATAAACATTTATTTTTATCAACAGAACTGTTTGTGATTTATATTACTAATAATACAAAATTTTATGTTAAGAAATCTAATACTCCATTTTTTTAATTTGTCAAAGTCTTCCAGTATTGATGGTCTCCTTATGCTTGCAGACTCTCACCCTCTCCTTCTTTCCAGATATATGTTGCACGCAGTCTTCCTGCTTATACCTGAGGACTACTACCTACCTACCTACCCACCCACCTACCTATTTACCTTGCATGCTCAGTGGATCACAGGAAAAATGACTGGGATGCTGCTTTTCAATTATTATTTAGTTCTCTTTCATTTATATATATATATATATATATATATATATATATATATATATATATATATATATATATATATATATATATATATATATATATATATATATATATATATATATATATATATATATATATATTATCTGTATATATGCAAAGAGTAAGAAATACTGAAATAAAGAGATATGGAAGTGAAAGACATGTTGGGGAGACAGCAAATCAGTCTGCCTTAGTGGTTTTGACATATTGGAAGAATGAGAAGGAAAAGTTTGATAACAAGAAAGAAAGTAAAAATAGATGGTGGGAGGGACAGGAGAAGACCTGAAGGGAGGTGGAAAGATGGGGTGAAAATGCATTAGAAGCAATAGTGATGGACATCTAGCTAGAAACTGTGTGCATGAATAAGCAGAGAGATTGTGTCAAGGGATTTGGGAAGGAAGTGTAGCTAATGGGTAATGTGAAACTACTGAGGTAAAGCAGATTTGGACCCTAGTTGTGGACGAGAAGTACCACAGCACAGCACAGCACATCTTTTATAACTCTGAGATTGAATGAAGTTAACTGATAAAGGAAAATTGTGCATGTGTGTGTTTGATTTTGTTTCTGGCCTCTGTGTAACTGGAAATATCCAATAACTTAATTTTGAAGGACTGTTCATTCCTTTTCCAAAGCTGTCAACTTGTACTGGATTTGATTTCCTGTAAAAAAAATTCAGTCTGCCACTCTGACCCCAGTGTGTATCATGGTACAATTGGATTTTATTTACTTCTGTTTTGTTGCTAGTGAGTGATTGGTCTGTGACTCAGGCATATAGCTCAGCACTGATTGGCTAGGCATATAATTGCCCAGGAATCCAAGGGATGCTAGGATTGGCTCTTGCTCACTCTCTTATGCACCTACCACCACTCCCTCTCACACACACACCCACTGTTCCCACTACACTAATCCACTACTCACTCCCTTACATATCCATCATTCCCTCCCTTATACACCTGCCACTTCCCCCCCACAGAGTCCATCATACACCTGCCACTTCCTTCCTCACACACCTGCCACTCCCTCCACTTCCCACCATAACACTCACCACTACTTCCCTCATAAAGGACACTCACTCTGCTCTGATCATCATACATATTTTGACTGAGTACAATTTGACTGTATAAAAGAAGATGTATGAGTGTATTAAGTACAGCACACAGCCGGGGGTTTACTGCACTGTACTTCATATCTTTGTTTTCTTCGTTACTTTATGCATCAACACAAGTTTTTTCACATTTCCTTATGTTTTGGGTTAAATATTTTTTGTATTATTATTATTTTTTTGGGTTGCTTCATTAAAATCTGAATAATTGCACAAGTGACTGAAAAAGCCGTTTTTTTTTCTAAAAACCAGTTTTTGTGATATAGCTCGAATGCGACGTCAGCAAATGCTACCTAGGTATGTTAATTCCTAGCCAATTCGCCAGGCCAACATACAGGCAATTAAAACATCTAATAATTACTATGCGCATCGAGAACCTCATCTCTTGCCTCAGAGAGAGCAGTAATTAAAAGTCAACTCTCGAGGGGTGGAGATGGGAGGGTAATGGATGTCGCATTCGAGCTATATCACAAAAACTGGTTTTTAGAAAAAAACGGCTTTTTGTTCATGCTGAATGTGACGTCAGCAAGAATACCCGAACAGGAGGTGGAGAGGGAGGTGACTTTGCATACAAGGCTCCGCTGACTGAGGTCCCGATTATATTATAAACCGTTTTGAACATTTCCAAAATTAGGAACATTTACCGGAAGGTAAAATGTTTATTTACTCAAAAAGGATACTCACTTTATTCTAATGAGGAAGAAGGTCCTGGTAGTGGAGATTGAAGCATTTGAAGCATCTCTCAGAGATAGATGAAGATAGCTGTCTTTTAAAGTTTTTGAAGATCTCCAAAAGCCCATTTCCTTGATCTGACTGAGACTCATATGCCGCAGAAAGGCCACAGACCCTGCATATTTCCTTGTGTCATGTGCCAAAAATTTCTTGCCAGGGTCTACTTGATTCACTAATTGAGATAAGGATTTTGTCAATTGACTAGGAGATAATTTCTTACCATCCCTTGATGAGAAAACATAAGGGCCTCTATTAGGGAATCTGGTTAACCATTCCTGAAGATTTTTAACTGGACACAATATGTGAGGAACCCTAGTTTCATCCAGTAGACGTTTTATCCTAATAGGTTGAGCTTGGAAATCTTCCCTTTCATTTTTTCTTAGGATCTCCGTAGGAAAAAGGATAACATCCTCGTCAGAAAATACCAATAATGATGGATTATTGGAAATTGAAATCAGTTCACTGATTCTCATACCCGTTGCTATTGCTAGAAGAAAAGCTGCCTTCTGGAGTAAATTATCCCTGTTCAGATTTATATTGTAATTAGGCCCCATAAGAAGATTAGTAACTTTTTCCAGAGACCAAGGCGGGATTCTCTTGGGTTGAGGAGGTCTTTGAATGAAAAAGGACGATCTTAGCATTTGATAAATCCTTGGGTTCAAAGTAATATTAAAACCCCAAGCCAAAGGGTCAACCAACGCTGATTTATAAGATGCAATTGTCGATCCTTGAAGGCCTTTAACTTTGAACAGAAATTCTAAAAATTCTAATACAACTGTTTCCAATAATGAATCTGGAGTTGTTAACTTGATAAACTGTTGAAAAAGATTCCAAGCTTTCTCATATTGAATAGAAGTTTGGGGTCTATGACCTGCTAATAATTGATTAGCTATATTGAAATTACCCAACAACCTATTTAAACTTTTTTTGAGAAACTCCAAGCATGAAGTGCCAAGGATATCTCGAACTGAGAATGTAGTACCTGGTCTAGACATTCTTGTTGCAATTGTAGAGGATTCGGGCACCAGTCCAGTAGATCCAGGCACCAAGGTTGTAGGATCCAATATGGTGCAATTAAGAGGACTTTGCCTCGGAAGGATCTGAGTTTGTGAACCACTTTGTGCAATATTTTCACAGGTGGGAATAGATAGATTGAATTCCAAAGGTTCCAATCTCAGAGGAGGGCATTTCCTAAAAGATTTGACCTTTCCAGAGATGCATAAATTGGCATCTTGTGATTTGTTAGGGAGGCAAACAGATCTATCTGTGGAGTTCCAAACTTCTTCACTAGACTCTTGAACTCCGATACCTTTAGGGATCATTCTGTTTCTGTCGATACTGGCCGGAGACGGGACAGCGCATCTGCCCAATTGTTTTGCACTCCCGGTATATAAGTTGCTTTGAGGTAAAGTGTTTGTGTTGCACAAATACTGAAAAATTTTTCTGATAGTTGTAGAAGGGCCAAGACCTTGTTGACCCTTGATGATTGAGACAAAACACTGCCGTTTTGTTGTCCATGGCAAACAGGATCGTCATATTTTGTAAATTTGTGTTTGCCGACAAAAAGAATAGGACCACTGCTAATTCTTTTATATTTATGTGTTTGTCCCAAAGGAAGTTGCTCCACTTTCCTTGATGGAATTCCCCTTTTGAAGGATGGTATCCCCATCCTATTTTGGACACATCCGTACAAACGACCAAACCTGTTTGAGGTGGAACCCAGGGAGAGGGACCGATTAGATTGTGCCAGTTTGTCCACCATAACAGATGATTCTTTATCTGAATAGGGAGAGAAGAAGCAACTTTTCTGTTTCTGCGAAGCAACTTCGAGCCCAGATGCTTTTTCCTTAACTTTCCCAATGGAACCACTATTGTGGCAAAATTCAACAGACCCAGAAGTTTTTCCCAATCGTACCAAGAAACCTTGTGCTTTACACAAAAGGCTTCTACTTTGTTTATCAAATCTGTTACTTTTGTTCCTGGCAAACTGACTGACTGCTGATTTGTATCCCAGTGGAGGCCTAACCAATCCAACTTTTGATATGGTATTAAATTTGATTTTACCTGGTTTATCTTTAAACCAAGGTTTTGAAATAGTACTAGTGTACGTTGGGTCGCCCTTTGACAATCTTCGAAAGAGTTTCCCATTATCAGCCAATCGTCAAGATAAGCAAAGGTTCTTGTGCCCTCCTTTGCAAGGATCTTTCTGGGAATATTTGCCAGTTTTGTAAAGACTTTTGGTGCAATTGTCAAACCGAATGGCATCACTGTGAATTGATAACTTAATTCCCTTACTTTGA